GCATTTCCTATGACTACGCAGTCGACGACCTGGTCTACAAGCGTGCGTATCTCGGTCTCAGTGATAAGTTGAAGCCTACGGCTTCTGGTCCCTATCGTGTTTCCCGCGTTCATACCCACGGCAACGTAACGATTCAACTCAGTGCTCATCAGTTTGAGCGCCTGAACATTCGGCGCGTGTTTCCAAAGCATCCAGTACCTCCGGTTGCCACCGGTCCGGGTTATTGAGGTTCCCCTGATTCATTTTCTAAATGTTACTGATGCTCGGCGCCTATTGTTGCCTCACAGTGGAGGAGAGTGACATACGCACGTATATGACGTGGCGCTTTAACGCTAGTTTTAAGTCTATCTCACAATATTCCGATCGTAGTTCACCAAGGTCAACACAGGAGTTTGGCTGGCTAGCTCCATGCTCGTTTTAGACGAGTTAGGTTCCCAAACTAGCTAGCTATAGCTACGATACTGGTTGTCGTCCTTCTCGCTGCATTATTATTGCTATTGTTGTAGAGCTCCACTTCCGTGGCTTTGACCTCATCAGACCTCACAGGAAAAGAGGAAGAGCACCATGCTAGCTCCTCGCAAGAAACTCCATAGCAGCCCTTCCTCTGTCTTGGACTTGGTGAACGAATGGGTATCACCATTGTTGCGTCCTGGAGATGTGGTGTGTGACATTGGTTGTGGAGATGGACGCGTGCTACTGCACTTGGCCAAGCAATTGACCAGTGGTGCCTGCCACATGGACAAAATCTCGTTTGTGGGGATTGACATCAACCCCGATCGAGTACAAGAAGCTATTCAATCTTTATCTAGTGCCAAAGAAGAAGGAACCATACATCCCAATGTGTCAGTTGTGTTTCATTGTGCCAATGCCATGGAATCGATAGATCTCTACAAGGACGCCACCTTTGTCTTTTTGTATCTGATACCGAGAGGATTGAAGATCTTCAAGCCCATGCTATATCAAGTTCTACAACATCAACAACAGCAAAAGGAAAAGAAGAAGTTGGACAAGAACAGGGACAATGATGAAAATGTCAATGACAACGTGAGCGACCAGTCCGTGATGATCCGGGTCATGACTTACATGGCACCGCTACCAGACGAAAAATACACACGAAAAGGGTCTTGTCACGTCGAACACCAACCGGGAGCCGCTTGGCCTGTTTACTTTTATGAATTGTGCCCGAGTATGATTGACTGAATGACTGAATGTATGCATGGATGAATGAATCTATGTGCTTCAGAGAAAACAACTTGCAACAATACAAACCAATCCACCTACCTGGGACGATTCTTTGTACACCAGGAAGTGGACTGCGTGGCTGAACTTCTCGCACTACCGTACGCAACAGATGCTGCTGATCCCTGTTATAGTCTAAATATTACCCGGTATAGTAGTAGGCCGACGTTAGCATTCCCTCGCTCAAAACCGGGTATAGATACCGGTCGGACTGAGACGCTATGGGTATCTGCCCCAACCCTTATTTCCTTTTCTGTCCTCTGTTCCATTTGTGTCACGCGGCCAGAAATGAGTAGGCCAATACCAATAGCATCGTAGTATCTCTTGCGAGGACTGCTCCTTTGGGAAGGCCAGCAAGTAGCTAGGTTCTGTGCAGTATGGTCTGGTGAAGCTTTACCGTGAACACTTTATAAATCCTTTGAAGTAGAGATGGATTTACATTACAAAAAGGATCCTCTACCCTCTATCTATTGGTAACGTAAACAAAAAGTACGTGGATTGTAAGTGTGTGACTGTGTGCTTCAATGAATTGAACATTTCTCTGTTTTGAATGGTAAATGCATCTGGAATCTGATTTGCTTCAACTCATTGCCAGCCAGAGCATTTGTGGATTATTTTGTTTATGAAAGTTTGCTTTGCTCATTCGATTTCTACAATTCGGCTTCTGGTTCTGGATCTCCCTTGAGGAATACAAGACGAGGCGTCAACGACACTTGTCCAAACCCAATGGCCCAAGCTCCCCAAATTTCCACGGAATCGGCTGTCCCATTGATTTCAAACGTGACGGGTTCATTGCAATTGCGGGCAAAGGACCGTTTTCCATCGCACATTTTGGGAAATGTAAATTGAGCGGCTGTTGTTGTGCTTTCGCCATTGTTAAACGTAGCTTCGTATTCGACGACGAATTGCATATTGGATCCTTGCAATGCCTGTGGTGGTTTCACCTTGATTTTGTACGTCGTAGCCTTGTTGGCGGGATACGACACGGTGGAAGTCGTCCAAGATTCGTCGTCTCCCTCTTTTTGGACTTGCAGCTCCACAATGTGATCGGCATCGTCATGGGTCTTGATCTTTTTGTTCATGACCACTTCTGTGTCGTCCAAATCCACGTAGCATTTTAGCCAATTCGCATACCCATGGACGGGTTGCACTGTCAAACCAAGGCACAGTAGTAGAAGTAGTTGTAGCAGATTATTCGTCATCTTTGTAGCACACTTTAGTGATACCTATTTGTTCTGTCTATGGTGTGTGGTGTTGTGGCATGTCGAAGATCAAGACCTGAAATGACTTCTCCATCCAAGCGAACCGAAGCCCAACCGAACCCCAAAAGGGTTAAAGATTTCGAACGCAATCTCTTCTTCCCGCCTTCAATGGAGCCTGCACGGTTTTGGGCGCGAAGCTGCCCACAATTTCTTGAAGGACCATTGTCATTTCGTACTTGTCCACACATACATTTGCTTTGTACTGTATCCTTCCTAACCTAACCATGACGCTCCCTGACCTCCCTCTTCGATGCTTGAGCTCAGCTGAGTCGCGCACTACCACTGATGTTGTCAGTGGATGCAACACCATTATTGGTACGTGCTCTTTCTGGCTGGAGCTTTTGATCGGTTCTTATCTGCTAATTTCTAACTTTGCTTGCGTCATTGGTGGCTCCTCTCGCACAGATTTTTGGACCACAAAATGCACTCGCTGTCCCGATGCTCTGGATAAACTCGACAAAATGGCACAAGATCCTCAATATAAGGAGGTTAAATTCATTTCCATCTGTTGTGATCAGTTGGATGGAGCGAGGGAGATTATTGAGAAAGACGACAATCCGCGATGGAGTCACATGGCTCACTACTTTATGGAACCAAACGACAAAGAAACCGCAAAGAAAGTGTTGGGATTCAAGTCTGTTCCTTTTTATGTCGTTTTGGACAATACCGGGAACATTGTGCAAAAGGGGGGAGCCTCAAAAGTTGACTTGGACAATGTTCCAGGCAAGTTGGTGATGGAAGAGAACAAGGAGAATTCAAAGCCTGATCAAAAAATCGCTGAAGCTCCCGAAGAACGAGTTTTCGTGCTCGACGATCTGGAATTTTAAGCCCTACATGTGGTATACTTGGGCATTGGTTGGTGTTGTATGTTGGTGATCCTTTCATTCAGTGCGATTGTGGAAAGGCTGCTCAATGGTGGTGGGAGCATTGGCAATCCATTTTCAATATCGGCACCAGCTACTACAGCAGTACATGTAGTGAGGAGCGCTGTGCCCGGAAGTGAAATGGTGGCACAACCCGTGTTGAGTTGGAGAGCATCGGCACGATATCCGGGTAGCCTTCAAAGTAATTTTAGGATGGAGCAGCGTTTTTGAATCATGTCTTGGCAAAGCAAATATGTTGTTGGTAGTCTTAGCTGACTATTAGTACTAGATTTACTTAATAAGCTATTGCCGACTAGCCTAGCTAGCTAGCGGAGTCCAGCGCCGAGGGGAGTCAGTTTGACACATGCTTCTGTGTACTACCTACAGCTCTACCTACTATGGGGCTGCTGGGGAATGATTCAATCTGAATTAGTCAAGAATATCTCCACGTTCTTTGATGATACCGGTAACAGGCGTCGCAGTGGCCCCACTTTGTGAACCTAAAGATTTGATCTTGTCAACATCAATGGAGTCCATGTTTAGAGGAAGATTGGCAGAAATGGTGTGGATGTTCTCAGCGATGATGAACTCAGACGTCACCCAACGAGAGAGGTATAACCTGTGTACTACCTCCCTCCTGCGGGGGTTTGCTTTCCAACAATATCTACATGTTCCTTGGTGACAACAGGCGCCACAGTAGCCCCACTTTGTGAACCTACTGTACAGGTTCCATCTTGTCAACAATGCCATGTCCATCTTCAAAGGTAGGTTGTCAGATTTTTATTGTGTGGACGTTCTCATCAGCAAGATGACCTCTGGACTTATCCCAGTCTAACAAGCTTAAAAACAATGACGTGTTCTCTCGGAAGATCTTTGTTGGATGATGGAAGTATGATGAGGAAGTGGCATGGATGAGGAAGTGGACAACCAACAAGAACATGAGAGATGGTGACACAAGCAACAAAGAATGATGGCACAAAAAACGTGACAATAGAAAAATGAGAGCCAGTAGAGGAATAGCGATGGGATCGATAGTGTTGTTGCTGCTGCTCTTATCTTCTTGCGTTCCTCTTATTCAAGGCTTTTCGAGTTTGCCAGTCTCCAGTATTGGTCGTCATTCCCCTCGTAATACGCAATGCTATTCATTCAAAAAGCAGAGACTTCATGCAGAACCAAGATCCATCTCGGATAGTCTTGACAAGGACGACAGCTTGGTACTTGAAGCAGGATCGGGTAGCTGGTGCTATTGGTCCACAGCCTACGAATTGGCTCAAGCTGGGACCGTTGGATCTATTACAGGACTATCAGTGGCAGCTTTCAAGTTGTCCATTGAAGCTGTTCGAAGCCTGTGCTACGAAGAAAGTATCCTAGTCAGCTATCCCTCGCTGGTGGCCCTTCTCCCGGCAATAGGAGGAGTAGTCGTGGGACTACTACTCCTTCTGGGAGGACCCTTTCCACCTGGACTGCGGGGAACCGTGCAGCAGGTAGATGACAATGATATCACAGATCAACTCCAAATCCAAGGAAACTTTTTGCGCAAATCTGCAGCAGCCGTCGCAACCCTTGGTACGGGAGCCAGCCTGGGTCCGGAAGGGCCGTGTGTCGAAATTGGTATCGATGTGGCCAGGGCTTGTTCGTCCTTCAATAGGCCAGTCCCCAGTCGAGAGGCCGGAGGGCCGTCGCCCCCCGCTACATTAGAGGAGGAGGAAACCACACTAACTACGGCTATCAATCCCCAAAGAGCCTGGAATCGAGTCCTCATATCGTGTGGAGCGGCTGCTGGGGTGGCTGCCGGATTCAATGCTCCCCTGGCCGGAGTGTTCTTTGCATTGGAAATCATGCAAAACACGTTCCAGTCCATTGACGAAGACCGTGCCACTGCCGCCGCAAAGATCGGCGACAGTTACAATCCGCCACCATCCGCCTTGATGACCTCGACTACCACCATCACTCCTATACTGCTGGCTTCGGTCCTTTCGGCATTGACATCGGAAACGCTCCTTGGAAATGAACTTGTGCTCCAGCTCAGCCAGTTCAACCTGGAAACACCCTTGCTGGAGCTTCCACTTTACCTTCTCCTAGGTGCCTTGTCTGGTGTCGTTGCCTTTGTCTTTACCTATTCCGCCAAGATTAGTCAACAATTCTTCCAGGGTGATCTAGGGGCTGATGCTGTCAAAAGCACCATGAACTCAATTCCTGAACCAGTCAAACCAGTGATTGGTGGTCTCATTTGTGGACTTGTGGGACTTGCATTTCCTCAAATTCTCTTCTTTGGATACGAAACACTAAACTCACTCCTCAAGAACAATTCGCTGCTTCCCGTGGGGCTCATTTTATCGTTGCTCGTCGTCAAGACGATTACCACAGCCCTATCGGCGGGATCCGGATTGGTCGGAGGAACCTTTGCTCCGTCCCTCTTTCTAGGAGCCATGCTGGGAGGAGCATTCCACGATGGAGTGGACACAGCCTTGAATTCTCTTGCCACGCAACTTCCGTCAGTTTCAGTTCTCGTCATGCAGCCAGACGAATCGGTGCACATTGCCGGAGTGGCCGCGTACGCCATGGTGGGTGCCGCGAGTGTGCTTGCAGCTCTTTTTCGGGCGCCCCTGACGGCCAGTCTGTTGCTGTTTGAGGTTACCCGAAACTATGATGTCATTCTACCGCTCATGGCAAGTGCTGGTGTGGGAAGCATCGTTGGAGATATTTTGGAGGATCGACTGGAACGACGAGATCAGATGCAACGGAGAGACAAGGATCCCGTGTCGTGGGGAGACTTGTCCCTAGTAGAGGGACCAACGGTTGATGGTGAAACATTGAGGAACATTGCCTATGGCAGCATGAAGAAAGAACAAGTGCTTGAGGCGAACACTCCAGGGAGGAGTCCATCACCGAAGCAACCAGTGGATCAACAACCTGCCAGTGAAGAAGCCGTGTCACAATGATGACTACTTGCTAGTAGTAAGCTTTGCTTTATATGACCTGTTCCAGAACGTGTCATTCCGTTCTTTTAAGCTGCTGGAACGAAGGAACTAGCGTCGATGTGTAGCTCGTAGTGCCCGTCTTCCTTTCCACGGTACAATGGTAAATCTAGTGAAGCCAGCATTGCCCTGCGAGCACCCTCCACAGCAATGGGGCCATTCTCCATAGCCCACGGTCCACACTGAGGTAGATTGCGTATGGATATCGAGAGCAACTCAGACGTAGATAATCCAGATGGCATTTCCGAAGGTCCTGGTGGAACTCCAGTCCCGACGCCTCCAAAATTCCCAACTACCATGTTGACAACGCGCTTCTGTAACCCTGGTTCCATCGTCGAAAGACCTTCGAGACCGCAATTGTCTTCCACTCCTCCATCAATCAGGACATAGTCTTGACTATCGCTCTCACTGTCCGATCCTCCGAGCCAATGAACAGGCTGAAAGAGGAAGGGAAACGTAGCCGAAGCGCGGGCTGAACGGGCCACGCATCCTTCTGTCATTACCAGTGTACTGAGGGTCTGCAAGTCAAATCCTGTTACAGCTACTGGAATCTTGCTGTCTTGCATCTGCATACTATGGTCGGCAGGAACCTGTGACTGGATAAACTCGAACATGAGTTGTTCAAACTTATCGCCCTTGAATGCGGACAAAACACCCGGTGGATCTGCAAATGTGGTCAAGTCAATGGTGCCAACAAAGTCAGCTGCTTTTCGCGGAGGAATACCCACGGCCAACAACATGGCAGCCATGGCACCTGCCGATGCACCCGCAACTGACAGTATCTTGTCAGTATCCAAAAAGGAGGTCTGATTGGCAGTAACAAGGCCTTCGTCCCTGACCATGATGGCAAACAAACAGTAGCATTGAGTTAGCCCAAGACAACTTCGTTCAGACAGCACAGTTTTCCATGAAACTCACCAGGCCGCCAAGCTTCCGAAATAGCCATAGAAGCCAAAGAAAGATGGCTACAGTAAGAAAGGAGACGAGAGTGGGGGGACTTGTGAGGGACTGCCTGATCATAAAACCCGACAACCCAAAATCCCTGTGTAATCATACCGCCATGCCCAGGTGAAAGCCAGAGGGATCCGTCAGAAACTCTCGGAGAGTCACATTACTCAAAAACGCATCCATTTGTCCCTGCACATTCTTGTCAACGACACCCCCCTTCGCAACTGTATCAACAACATGTTTCGGTGGGATTACGTGGTCAAATGTGCGAATGGAGGGCGCGCGTTGAAAGAATGCTGCAGCACAACAGCAGGACACAATCAAGATAGTCGAGAAGAGCCACTTGCGAATTGATCGATTTGACGAGGTTGCAATGTTGGAAGATGGAATAGTCTGAGAGAAGATAAAGTCTGCGGACGGAGGGTACATGACTTGAGGTGTCCTCTTTTTCTGGGCTGGCAGATTGTCGGAGAGAGAATGGGTCATTGCGACATTATTGACCCGCCCTTTGTTCTGTGCTCCAGCAGGAGGAGGAAGAACTTCATTCAAAACTACTGCCTTGGTGGACTTGGGCAATGCAGACACTGGAGCTTTCCCCGTGCGGTCATTTCTCGTACCGATAGAACCTGTTAGTATGGGTTGCTCAGCGCTTTCGCCCTCCACAGTCGCTGTGCTCGGAGCGTTTCCTCGAGATTTCTTCCTATCGCGATCATCTGGGGAATCAGAAGCTCTCTTTGTACCCGACACGTCCAGCGGCTCTGTCTGCATGTTCTCCATGGTTCAAAGAAGGATAACAACAAACCTGTCGACGACGAAAAAGTAAATGTGTGGAGTTGTTGGATGTTGGGGGTTGGCAGCTTCCCGATCAATGACGTGGCTTTGACAAACCCCAACCTTCAGTAATCCACGCTTCGCAAAACGTGGAACGCCAGTGTTGCATAAATTTTGCGGCGGTCCGCTCTGCTTTCAAAGACACAGGTTGCCCAGACTGGCCCTTCCACCTTCCAGAGTAGAATGTGTTTGACACCCGCTTGCTGTCATCATACATTGATTTACTTTGTAACCATCATTTTGTAGCAAGTATTCTTTTTTTCTCGGCCAAGTCAGTGCGAGCTGGATTTCTGAGCCTTACGGATATTCTTGCGTAGCTTTTGGGAGTAATAGTGCTGCTTGCCATAGATGGGTTCCCAGATGGAGAGTGCCGTTTCAAGCTCCGACAAAGCCATTTCTGTATTCCCCTGGTCAAGCATGACAGATGCCATGTTCGCGTGCAACACAGCTCTATTGGGGTAATCCTTGCCATGAAGGGTCTCTTGGATGGATAAGGCTGCTTCAAAACTCTCCAAAGCGGCTTCCATGTCTCCTTGGGCTTGCAAAATCAGCCCAATCTTGTTGTAGGACACAAACGTGTCATCATGGGTTCGACCAAGATGTGCCAATCGTATATTGAGAGCCTTCTGGTGTAGAGCTAGGGCTTGCTGATGGTCACCTCTCCGGACAGCAAACTGCCAGTATTGTGGTATGTCCAAGCCAAGGCCAAGTGTCCTTCTCCCAGAACCTTCTCACGAATATCTTGTGACTTATCGTAATGGGCCAGTGCTAGGTCCAACTGTTCCTTTCCCTCTAGAGCCCATCCAATATCGTTGTGTGTGGCGGCAGTGTCCGCGTGGTCTCTCCCCAGTATAGACTCCCGAATGGACAGCACATTCTGAAGTAAAGCTAACGCTCTGTCATAGGCACGGTGCTTTATCAGTTGAATACTAATTCTCGTGTACATTTTTGCACTCTCCAGCCTCTCTTCATCGCTGCTGGTATGAATGTTGTTGCTTTGGCTGCGACATGCTGTTTCCACAGTGACAATGTGTTGCGAGATGATATCTTACCCCCATTCCCACATTTATTTGTAATAACTCATAGGACAAATGTCTTCTCAAAGTGATAATGCCGGTGTAGCGCTTTGGCAAACCCTTCGAGGACTCGTCGACTGGCTGTCTCTCGATTGGGCACCAAGTAAAGATCGTCCAGTGTATTGCCTCCCTCGAACGTCAAGCCCGTTTGATACCTGTTTCGGAGTCCTTTGGGCAGAATTTGTCGGATAATGGATGCCATAATGTTCATGGCCACGCCGGTGTTATAGTGCTTGCAGACTCCGTCAAAGGGATAGACAGTCAAGATCTGTCGAGATACTTTTTGAATCAACTTGAAGTCTTGTTTTTGTCGCCAATCGAGACCATTGCATTCTACCAAGACAGTGCAGCCTCTTCGGACTGCCGCCAAGTCGGCATTCAAGGCTGATTGAATGTAATACACCCCAGCCATGTAGCTGTCCACCTTGTCTGGGGTATCTAGTTGGGTTGTGTCCATATTCCTGGCATTGTGTGCCATCACGTAGGTGCCTTCGGAAGAGCTAAAGTGAAAGACCAGAAAATTGCGGGGAAAACGTTTGATCCACTGCGAGAGATGCCGTAGACCGTCTTGAGGGCTGTCCAATATTTTGTATTCTTGGCGCAAATCCTGCAACCCATACGCCCTTCTGATGGCATCGTCCATGTCACCTCGGGTGATAATTGCAAGCTGGGCGTACATATAGTCGCTCGAATTTGATAGATCAGGCATGGACTCGACGAGTTCTTTCAAGTTGGTCGCCCATTCATGTTCTTCGGGGGTCAACTCCATGCGTCGCGGGTCGTCCAGATGGGGCAGTACAGCAGGGATCTCTTCGGCCCCTCCTTCTCCTTCGTTCTCGACTTCGACCTGCGCTGGTGGTGGTGGCGGTTCATTCACATAGAGCAGATCTCCTTCGACGAGGCCTCGTTGATTTGAATTATTGCGTTGCATCATCATGTTGTACATGTATGTCGGGTTTGGTTGATCGAGGTTGCGCTGTGGTGTTGGGGAGTTGTTGCGAGGGTTGCCAGTTGCGGTGAAGGATTGGGCCCAGTACAGTACCGGTAGTCGAGAGCCCCTGAAACGCACGCGGTTGTATTATACGTATAACATTTTCACTATGTATTCTACAGATCATACGAATTACACATATAACCTTTTTAATATGTATTAGACAAGTCATACGTACAACACAAGTAACACAAGTGGAAAATATTATACGTATTACATGTATTATGTGTTGTACGTGTTATACGTATAATACATAGTGACGAATTTTTGCTAAGTTTTTTTGCCAGGTGTTTTGCTAGGTGTTTGGGAGCAGAGAGGAAGATGCACTGTTGCAGGCATAATACCTGACAGCTTATAAGTAAAATGGACTCTTACCTATCTGAACTCTCTCATGTTGCTAGATACAATATCAATGATTAAGAATGGACTCCTGCTTCAATCATTTGAATGTAGCAACCTACTAACTGATGATACACCAAAGAGATAAAATTATGGATACTCTGGGGTTCGATAATTATCAATGGAGAAATCGACGGTGTTATTGGCTACCTTCGATGTATCAATCTGTGATCGGCGCATATTAAGAAGTTTTGATGCCATATTTGTACTTTCTTGCAAGACTGCTGGATTCCGTATCAAAAACAAGGGATTCGATAAGAGGCGGAATCACATTAAATATGTTGTCCAAGGAGTCGTTTTTACAAACAAAGGTCCCAAAGGAGAGCAACAAAACCACCCAAACCAGCTTCCTGTTGAGGGGGAGGGTGTCAATGTCCATTCTCTTTCATGTTCTATATAGCCAGGAACACAGGCGATGATATCTACCCAAGTTCCAGACAGGCAACAAGCTTCATCGTGGCCATGTACAAATGAAGAGGCACAAGTGAAATGTTAAGTACTCATCTTGCACAGAAGCCTTACACTAACGGAACAATGCCTAAAGAACATCTCTCGCCAAGTGTTGTTAAGACTTTACTTTATGAACGGACATGCTCATCTCTAACTTCGAAACAAATGAATCTCTAAGGAAGAGTCTGCATCAAGGAGTGGTCTTGTCTTTGGTGAAGCCAGACGGTACCATCTCAAGTATCACATCAGGAGCGACAGCAGCAGATAGGCAGAAATATTAGTGTTACACGCTAGATACGTATATCACGGGTGATACATATAATACACGTTACATGCATAACACGTGTTACACATAACACGTGTTACACGCGTAACACGCGTAACACGTGTTGCCCGCTGAGGTACTTACATGGGTTCAGTACTGTCCCTACAGAAAGTGGTTGACAATGGTAGAATTCAAGGCCAGTTTCCACAGGCTTTGTCAGGGAGCCTTCAGAAGTATATGAATGCAAAAAGAATGGTCCTGAAGGCTGTACAGGGCCTGAGGAAGAGAGTGGAGGCAGAAAAATGGAGAATGAGTTGAATGAAGAGAAAACATTCTATCTTTCCACAGGAACAGTCTTCTTGGCTTCAACAAAGCCATACCACATTGCCTACTTACCACAATGATGGTGCTATTTCAAATAACAAGAGAAACCTTTGTATCCTTCAACAAACAAGAGAAGAGAGGTTATTGTCATGGTGGTTCTTTGTGGTGGAGATTGGAGTTGGTTTTGAAGTCAAGTTGGAGTCAAGTCATTTTGCGAAACTCGAACGGTCACGGTGGCTGGCTGGCGCGCGTGTTATAAGTGTTATACGTATTCCACACGTAAGACGTGTTACACCTGTTATACGAGTGATACAAGTTATACGAGTGATACGAGTGATACGAGTTATACGTGTAACATCGCGTGCGTTTCAGGGTCTCTCGTACCAGTACAGTCGTATTGCTGCCGTCTGCCGTACCAGTGACGGAAAACAGCCACTAATTAAAAGGTCATGATGACCTTACGTTTTACGTGGTTTGTTAAAGTACGGATTTAAACAACGAAGCCCCACAAAAGAGAAGAGTCATTCGAACAATTCATCAATCCTGCTCTCAAACCACGCTCTGCAAAGCGTGGAATGCTACTGTAAGAGTTACAAGTTGATTACTGTTTACTTCTCTATGGAATACACAAACTGTAGCTGGATGTTTCTTCCTTCAAGCTCAGCTACCGTAGCTTTCAAATGAATACAATGTACTTGTGATACGTGTTGTTTCAAGCTAGTTGAAGACCATGGCTGAGGCAACCAGGAAAAAGACAGGGAAAATCATGCTCGCCATCCCTTTCACTCCAACTGAGCTGCTTGCATATGATCCCATAAGGTCAGCTTCTGTTTCTCCGTCGCACAAACCTTCGTTGCAGAAAAGGGCATCTTTGCAATCCAGATCCAACCCGCAGGGCTCTCCCGCAGAAGCCAAAAAGTCGATATCACATGTTCCCGTTTCACAGCAGGGTGCCCAGCTGTCCTTGGGGTCGCTGGAAAAGTCCGTCATGATACCTCCGCGGGGGTTTCGATTGTAGAGAGCGAACTTGTTTTGAAGGAATGGTTTGAACGCTTCTGGTACTCCGTTCGGGCTATCAAAGGCAGTTCCGTCAACTCGATCCAATGACACACCGTTGTCAAAGGCGAAACAAGGCTGCAAAAGCCCAGTTTTGGCTGGAGCAGGATAGAAAAAGAAAAAGTTGATGCACATCTCATCTGCTGTTTGGTCGCCTCCATACAACGAGGCATTCTTGTCCAATGTGTTGTATTCACAGGTTGTTACTAGGGCGTCACCGGGCAGAATCTTGATATGTTTCCTCGACAGATCATACGTCATCTGATTGTCAAACTCGTAGGACTCAACGCGCCCTACCTCCCCAATCTTCTTACCACAGCGATATTGCTCTGTGACCAAGGAACGGCCACTCAAATGCATATGAGGAAAGAAATGCTGACAGCCAAAGCGACAGGGTGAGAGTGTACCAACGAAGAGACCTCGACAACTGAACCCAAACATTTGATTTACTAGTACTGCGTACCGTCGCATACACAGGCTGATCCAAGCCCGCCGTGGCCTCCGAGGGACAAATACCTTGAATCCGGTAGGTCTCTTGTTGCGGCACAATGACAAAGTCCACATCAGCGTTGCCCATGCCGAACATTGCCCGACCCAAGGTATGGGGTCGTAGTTCAGAGGTAAGTGACACTCGAAAGCCAGACTGATCCCTTTGGGGAGTTCCAGCGGTGTTGTCGTAGTGAAACTCGAGCTTCACGACGACGCTGTCCATTCCAGAAAAGTCAAACTCCTCGCCAATGTTTGGAGGCAAACATTCTTCATTACTTGGCCCAATGGCCCAATCTGCCAAAGAAATACACGAACTCTCCGCACCTTCGCACGAGTAGGGCCCCTGACCCACTCTATCTCCATCTTTGGAGTGGCCATCGAGACAAAGATAGGCGAAGGCGTGATGAGGAATATCCTTGTTGTCTTTAAGGAAAGAGTGCTTGACTTTGTGCAACTTGGTTGCCTTAGGCACCGCAAGTTCAATCTGTTCGCAGAAATAGTGACTACGTGTTGCATCAATTTCCACTGGCTCGCTCAACTTCATGTCGAAGGCAATAACATCGTTCGGCTCCTTATATTCAGAGCACGTAGAAGCCACGATGCCGTCTCTGTCAACGGGAGTGTCCACCACTCCGGGATGCGACAAGGCTGGGAGAATAGGATCAGATTCTCCTTTGGTCCAAATGCAATCTGGGTCTCCCAATTCTTCGCCGTTGGAGCGGCCGTCGCCGTCTGAGTCTGCTCGGCACAAGTGCTCGGTCCACTCAAAGCCTTCCTCTTGAAAATCTTGCCCAAATGGATTGAGCTCGCCACCTCCACCAATGGCGTTGTGCCCTACACCGGCCCAGAGACCACCCTGAGGGTATGGGTTCGGCACACGGTTACCATTTGGAATGTTTTTCGCAAAATGTTGGAGTCCTGACGCCACAAGGATGGAAGTGCTAAAAAGTTTGACTGCAGTAATGATTGCCATGATTTCACTGCCGAGTACTCTGTCGTCTTTTCTGGAGGAGCGAGTTGATTGGCCTTAGGGTTGGAACAATGCACTGGAAGAGACGAGAGGAATGGGAGCGATGAGCGCCATCTACACACAGTGCATCATCATCCAAGGCAATTCCCTCGATAGCGGAACGGAACACAGCGAAGCACACGTTCCTTTACTTACCCTTTCGGTTTTCTTGAAACAAATTTTGTGGTTGCTTCCATTGCTTTTCCATCGTCTGAATGTTCTCAACTCTGTTCTTCCCGAGTAGCTAGTTGAGCCCAATGCTTTCTCCCCGGATGATACCACCAGTACTACATCGATGGAGGGGCCACTTTTCTCCCAATGATACTTCTCCTTCAAGCGTTGTGCCGCGTCTCCATTTACATAATCTTTCACAGGTCTAGGCTTGCCAGCGGCTAGCTAGCTTGTGGCCCGGTATCCCGGTATCAATCTTTCGCAGTTCTAGGCTTGCCAGAGGCTAGCTAGCTTGTGGCCCGGATACCGTACGCTTGGCAGCGGCTAGCTAGCTTGTTACCCCGGGAGCTTTACGGTAACTACTGTACTACCGGTACCTCCAGGAACATCGAAACAAGACCGCGTGACATTAGGATGTCGATCATTCGATTTACCGTACAGGTAGCTTGCTGAGTAAAAGCTTGGTCTTGTCTACTCACTTTGAAAAGGGACAGCGAGCCAATGGTACGCCGCCGCCTGATAAGGGTGGCGAACTCCGTGCATGTACATGTGGCTACGGTACTCATGGACACCATCGAGCAATCTGGTTATTGTAGCCATACTAGCTACTAGGGAAGCAAGCTATACCGTACCGGATACGACTTGGAGATGGGTAACTTTCCCCCAATCGCTCTCCTAACCAATACTACGTACAAGAACGCCAACTGCACAAGTACCAGTAGATAGGCAGGCGAAACATTTGAAAGGCAATCAGAGACATGAGATAGGAGTGAAAGCAGGGAGCAGGCTTTTTGGGTGCTAGAGAGAAGGCGACGATGGCCAGATGGACCACAGCTACCGGTACCAGGTACCGGTACAGTAGGACGAAGCAGCCAGTGGGGTGCGGGGCAGAAACAATCCCCATGCAATGATGGATCGGTCTCGTCGCCGTCTAGTACTGTAGGCATCGTTCTGTACCGGCATTGGCTTTGCTAATCCTACCTTCGGAACATCGCTTGGTTGGCTTTCGTAGGTGTGTGTCCAATCCTTTCTTAGGTCGCACTAACAGCAGATTGAATTCATCAGTGTGGACTTGGTCACTGCGGTACCTTGCAGGAGGCATAAGGCTCCGCAACATCGGCTTGCCTCAACTACTCACAACCAATCGACCCGATCCCACCACCCATTGCAGATTAGGAGCTTGTACACGAGATTGCTTCAGCGTCTACCTTTCCTACTCCAAAGTTTGTTACAGCATAATCAGGTTTCTGCACCACCTCTTCTCCAGCGGCTGTGACACAATAGGCGGTTCAACATTCACTGGCCAGCCACTCCAACCCACCGTAGCTCATTCCATTCCGCCCGAAGCTTCTCTCCACTGGCAACTCTACTAGATAAAGCACAGAACTGGGTGTTTCTGGAAGATCCTTGCGTATCGTCGTCAATGCCAAATCCTTCGGCCGTCTTCACAGCGATGCCCCGATGTTTGAATTGAATCGTTCAACACACACAGTTACCTCGTTCCCCTTTCGACTACAGTAAAGATACATGCGCGAGCAAAGGACACGAATCTTCGGCCTCTTCTTTCAGCTCTCTGACTCGCTTACGTCTTGTTTCTCCGTTCCTTGATGATTATGTAGCATCATGTGCTCAAACGAGCCACCCTTCTGTCCACTCAACCGCGACGCCCACTCTCGCCACAACCGTACTACGGCTGCTTCAGTAAAATCTGAGATTGTCCTCTTCCTCTCCTTTCTCTTCGTCGCCCGGTGCATTGTCCTCAACTTCCTCGTCGTCCTGCGCCGGCAGTATTAAGGAAACACTCCAGTGGATCCATCCAAAGAATGTTGCCTTGTAGCTTTGAAACGTTTGCCACATGGGGCTCATCTCTACCAGATGAATAAAGTACATGGCCGCGGAGAACATGGTGGAACAATGATAAGGGGGGGGGGGCAGTCTATTGCAATGATTGTATTGTGTATAGTCGCTGCCGCCAGTGAGAAGTACGTGTACTTTTTGAGAAGAGGGGTTTGCTGTGTTGCTCCCTTTGGTTCTCTTTCATCGCGTACCGTTGACCTTGCGCATGCAAACCAGGGTTATGAGCACTTTTCAACGCGGGAACGTTGCCGAAGACGAAGCAAGCTGTTTTGATTGCTTCGACGATGGTGGAAGAGCCGAGAGCGGCGACATGTCAGACTGACCAGACTTCATAGCTTCCAAAGGAGGGCATGCATGGACAACTGTACTAGTACCGCAGACAAAGAGAATACCCCCCCCCTCCTGTTGGCTCTTGCAATCTCAAAGGGACAAGATACGCTTCATTGCCCGAGCTGCGGTGAAGTTGCACACGTTGGGACTCGGTGAGCCAGGCCTCTCTTCTCTCGGTGTTTGCCATACAGACCCTCTTGATCACTCCGCCCTGAGCAGTGGTACAGTGGTGATGTACCATGTACCGCGCTTGATTCTATTGCTCTGGCCGCTGGATGACTTTGGCTTTGAAAGGAGCTGTGCTGCGTTGGGTTGATGGAGTCCCAATATGGTCCGTGCATACTGACCCCAAACCAAATCTCCGACCAGTCAATCAGGGGCTTGCAACTGTCTCCGAGCCAAGTCAATTTCTTTGCTGGGAACCCCCTGCCTTTCTGTGTATTGATGATAGGAAGTCAGAGCCATTGTCTTCCTGAGAAACCAGAGAATTGTTATGTTATGTCTGGAGAATCAGCCTCTCTGGGCATACACTTCCCGGGCCAAGCAACTCCACTGATCTCGATGGAGGGGCCTTTTACCCGCCATAAACACCATATGTTCGACTTGGAGGCCTGCTGAGGCAGCCCTCCTCCTGCAAAAGAACACGGGGCTGAAAAGAATAGTGTGTCAAAGACGAATGCAATATCGGGTCCAAAGGTCAAGACCTGGCGCTTGAACCACATCGCCTGTATAGGAGCCCAGCAACCAGAATCAAAATGCCGTCCAATCCCAAAGTCACGCCCCTCTTCGGAAACATACCTCCATATCCCGGCATCGACAGACCGATGGCAAATCAGCCCGGTGCTTCTTCAACACTAAGTTTCACTCTCAAATTCGGGCCAGGAAGATGCCCTTCCTCCAACCTCACCCGTTTGATGGTCTTTCACTGTGTCTTCCAGGCCCTGAGTTGGCCTTTACCGACTGAAATTGACCAGGCTTGGCGCATCGCTCTGAATGAATTGTGGAGAAAAGTGCGATTGCCCATGAAAGAAACACAAAAGAACCATCCAACCCTCTGCGGTGCGGTCGCTGCAATCAGCTTTGGTATTTGTGCACGGATTGAGATATCCCAGGTGTGCTGTTGGCGTGCGCTTGTGATCTATAGTATGGATATGGTGGGAGTACCGCAGCGAAACGTGACAGCCACTGGACGCCCCTTCCAGTAGGCAAGCCCGGGCACCGCATCTTGCCCTTTAGAATAGGAACAATTGCCCCGTCAAGGAACGCAGCAACCGACGAATTGAAACTGAAACTGCGAGACATGTTGTATGCTTGTTTCAGCTTTGGCGGCGAATTTAGTTTACACCGCAGAACCGACAAAAGAGGAATCCAACCGACAGCGATCAAAAGGATGTCTGATGCTCTTTCTCGTACTGCAACTATAGCCATGAGGTCCGTCGATGCGGTGATACCGGTAGAGCAAACGTCAAAACCTCATTCAACGAGCGCATTTAGCTCATCTCCTTTTCTTCAGCTGGGTTCGTCTATGCGCACGTTATCAGGGACGCAAACACCCCAACTGTTCGAGCTCTCCTGACTCAAAGAAGCCGCTGGCAATAAGGAGAGTTGGAGCTTGGATACCGGTTTACCGCCAGTCGACGAGAGAAGCTGAACAAAAGGGGCATTATCCGTTTTTCCTCCGGTAATTGACCGGCAGCTCCCCGGTCCACGGGTTTTCGAGGCAAGGCCGATGCGCCCCCCGTAATGGTACTCAGAATTCCCTTAAAAGGAGGGATACGCCTGCAAGCAACGGGATGAGGCACATCATCCTTGCCAACTGTCCTTGACGCATCAATCAACAGAAAAAGTGAATATCATATGAACCTTTGGTGAGATGGTCGGCAGCGCCTTTCGGTAGCGGTGGTTCGCGGAGAGATTGACCCCCACGACAGCGGTGCCCGCTACAATAGTTCATTCTGGACACAGATGCTGCGCCATTGATGTTGCGCCCCCAGTGCCATCAACAAAACCACTTTGGGGGAGCTTTGCTTGGCAGCTTAGCATGAACGCCAAAACATCCACCTTTCCAGAACATTTATTTGGAACCAGGGTCATGACTGATAGATCTTCCGAAGACTGCGGTGCAAATAATGTTGGCGTACATGTTGGCCTTGGAAAGAAGGAGTCCTTACTGGTACTACTTATTACATCATGGCACCTAACTACCAGTAGCTATAATAGCTACTCAGTACAGTAGTTCGAGTAGCCAGCAAGCTTCTCGGTACCGGTACTGCATCTCAGACATGCACCACAAAATTGTAAGTTTTCCTGGCCCGTCCCACTAAGTACTTTTTGAAGCAAACCTGTCTGAGAGAACTCCAACCATCACCAGAGCAAAGTGTTTTAACCTTTTCGAAAGTCGATTGGCACTGCGTTAGATGTCCGAGCGGGGTCCATATGCTCATGACGGCTTGGCGCGAGCTTGTTGAAGTCTCGACGTCTCGACCCTTATCTTCGCGACACTGGCTACCCGTACCGGTACTAGTAGCTCTACTTGTTAGCCACACTGTACGAAGTAGTTGCAAAGCCTCCCTGATCTTGGTCGGATAGAGCCCAGCCAGCTAGCTGGCCCGCCAATGTTGCCAAACGGACATGCAGACACCACCCAAGCACAGCTTATTGTGCTTCCAAAGCGCGTCCAGCGGCTGGCTACCAGCCGAATTTGTGCCCGGCTGAAACTAGCTCTTATTAGTGTCTAGTAGCTGGACTAGCTAGAGCTACCGGTATTGATAGTTGCCGCACTCGCAACAGACCCGACAGCTTACGATGCCAATGATGCCCGGTCATGCAGAACCGGCAACTGGCTGAGAAAGTGCACACACTCTGAGCCTCACTGTAGCAACGTCGAAAATTCGGACGTGGCTGCACACGCAAACCTTTCATTTCGTGTTGCAAAGTTCGCCACTGGCTAGCTACTAGCTCAGTCTGCTTCGTTTTCGCTCTCTGAAACAGTGCAATGAACATCATGTTGCATGGACCTGCCCTGTTACCCCCGAACTGGTTCATCTCTTGTGTCTGTAGCTCACCCAGAGGCGAGGCTGGAAGTGTGGACCACCGCAATAGAGGATTGCGGAACTCCACCTCTTCGCAATCCTCTTTCAAACGAATTGGCTGGCCTCCGCCACGAGCCAGAGCAATATGCCGCATTGTGTTGTCTTCCGTGAAGCAATGTTGGCCATTCCGTACCTGTACTGTAGTGGAGCCTCAGACAACCGCAATGATATAGCCAAGAGTTCAATTGTTGGGCTGGCGAAGGGCGAAGGGAATATACATGTAGGATGAATCCAGATACGTACGGTACCGGTACTTTACCCAAAGCTCAACCTTCTACAATCGTTTCTGGTTGGCTGGCTACCTGGAGCCCCTCAAAAGCCTAGTATTGCTACACACTTTGAAGTCATGGGGCCGGGAACTACATGGCACATCGCTCTTTCAACCCATCAGCAATAGTACCGGTAGCAACATTCTGCTTGTCATTCAAGTGGAGCCTGCAGAAAACACCAAAAAATAAATAAAATGAATTCATAGCTGTTTGCTACAAGCTGTGAACAGCAAAGGCTTATGTTTATGAGGGATGAGCTGAAAGGCTATCCCGAGAGCAAGCAAGAAGCTCTGCCCTACCTACTAGTACCTTTAAAGAAGACTGAGGACTCGTTTCATACTTTCCAGGCAACCCAATGGTACTATTCGAGTTTGTGGTAGTCAAAATGGCCACACATGGCCACAACATGGCCACACATACCGTAGTCTTGATTGAGCTCAATATTGAGTGCTTCAAGTCCAACTTAAAATCCTCATGAAGGTGTGTGTACCCTACAATGCTTTCGAGCATCTGTGGACCAGACCAAACATGAGTCAAAAGCAAACCTCCAACCTCCAGCCTAACATGTGTTGCCTGCTTATGTTGGTGGCTGACGAGACAAGAAAAGAAGTGCCATCCTTTCAACTTGGCGGCCTCATCCCCGCACGGGGTGAAATATGCCCAAAGCCTCTCATAGCAAACACTTACTCCATTGAGAGCCAGCAACTGCCTCCAACTTGAAAGCAAACATGGCTACGCAGGGGGGTCAACCTATGGGGACACCATTAGTCAACCTGCCACCCTTTGAAGCTTCAGTTTTCAATGTACCAGGAAAACACAGCATGAATAGAGTCATAAAAACATGCCAATCTTTGATATGCCACAGCATTTTACTTTTCTGGTGACCAGATCTTTGATCTGGTGCTCTGGATCCTTGTTACAACAAACAGATATCAGACATCCTACTAGTACTATCATGGATTGGAAATCATCTGGTCATCAGAATAACGCACCATGATTGGCCTCAGGCTTGCTTGGATTGCTCGTGAACGATGCCGTCTCTGGATTGGAGGATGCTGGAACTATGCTGATGCAGCCAACCAAAATCACAGACGACAAAGAAAAAGCGTGCAATGAAGCTTCCGCCTTTTCTTCTTGATTGGTTTTTTGGGAGAGCTTTCAGTTGCAAGCACTCAAGGTTCTTGCGCTGATGTGAAATAGCTATTCAGTAGAGGAGAGGTTTGTGCTTCAACTCCAAAAAACGCACATTCAAAATTGAAAACTGGGGGTGAAGTGATAAGGTCGTTGCTTGGAAGCGAGAGGTGAGAGGCCTGAGGTGAGAGAGGAGGCCTGCCGTACTCTAGCTAGTATGTTATGGGCTGAGTCAGCCAGGTTGAATGAGTTGTGCCTGCTGTAGGCTCCTATGCCAGGACAGAAACATGAAGGAGTCTATCTTGTACCGTAGTCCAGTTCGTTCCAACAGCATGTCCACGAACTCCTAAAAGAGCTCTGGTAAAGCCTCCTGAGGAATGAACTATCCAACTACTGTACCGGTATGCGACTGTGGACAGTCCACTACTTCCAGTACTTCCTCCTTGCAGCCTTGCAGAGTGCAGAGCCACAGAGCCACGTCCCGAAGATTGATTGGATTCATTCATTCCACATCTTAGAAATTGCTGCTGGGAAGAGGGAAAATGGCTCTTTTTGTGGTCACGAAATTGGCTAATAAGGGCTATTAATAGTCTAGAGAGGTCAAGCCTGGTCAAAGTTTACCAGGAGAAATTTGCATTATTCATTCATTGACCACGGTTGACCACGATTGACCACGGCTGACCATGGCTGACCACGGATGACCATGGCTGACCACGGCTGACCACGGTTGACCACAATTTCCCTTAGCAATTACCTAGTAAAAGACCATCAGTGACCACGCTTGATCACGGGTGACCACTCTTGACCACTAGCGACCACGCTTGACCACGAGCGACCACCTGTGACCATGGTCAACTGTGGTCAAAGTGACCGTTTATCTTCAAAGTCGGACTTTTCTGGTCAACGATGGCCAAAGCATGTCCAACCTGGTCTTGGTCTGGAGCACCACGGTCTCCTTTTTCCTCTTCCCTGACGCGGAGTAGCTACATGTTGTACTAAAGTCAACACTCACTTAAGTTCCGTTTTCTTAAGTTCCATTACTCTACAAAGTTCCTCTTTTTCAGGGCTGCCCCCTCAGTCACTAGTTCTCATGACTGACAAGGGAATGTGCTTTGTGGCAGTTTGAGACAGTGCTGCCAATTAGGACCCAGCATTCAGATTGTTCATTTATACATATATGAAGTTTCTTCATCTATCTTTCATGACAGGCATCTTAGAGAGCCCGAAACTAGCCACATAGCATGTTCTACTGGTCGAAGACAATACAGACACCATACATAGGAGCAAGACAATACAGACACCATACATAGGAGCAAAGCAGTTCCACCCCAAGACCGCCTATCTCCTTTTACCCCCAACAACAAGAGAACTCAACATAAACCACCCCGGACAGGCTTCGATACCACGAACGGGCTGATATGGGCACCAACCATACAAAGTTCCGACTCTCTATAAAGTTCCGTTATTTTCTTAATGCTGGGGGGTGGAACTTTAGTGAGTGTTGACTGTAGTGCTTCTGGTCTGCTCTACCTAGCTAGCTAGCCAGTTTATGTTGCCTTTAGCTATTTAGTTAGCAGTGAGACCTGCAGAGAAGCCAATGCGAAGCAGATACGAAAGTTGCTGTTGCAGTGGTGCTACTTATTACTGAGTCAGTAGTCTACCTTCATTAGCCAGCCGAGTACAGTACTCAGTCCTACTACTATCTAGCTAGATCTACAGGTAGCCTACTACATGTGCACGTATGTAGTAGCAAGCCTGGTCGAGAGACGAGAGGGATACTGGTAGGGTAGGAGAGAGGGAGAGTGCCAATAATGAGCACAAGTAAGTCACAAGCTGCAACAGCAAACAACAAACAACATTCAAAGCAACTCAAAAGGTGAAGTGAACTCCAATGAAAGTAAAGCCCAGTTTCCGATAAAAATGATTTAACCGAAAGAAAGTTCAGCATTTATTTCTACTTCCCGAATCCGGAAGCCTTAAAAAAGCAGGTGAAGTATCGGAACGCGCTGAGCTGGCCGAGTGGGTGTTGGCAGCTGTGTTGGCACTGTTGGACCGGTACTGTTGGTGCGTGTTGGGTGTTGGGAGCTGTAATATCTATTTTTGTTTATTTGAGTTGCCACAAGAAGACTCCAAGAGTAATAAGTACTGAGCACTGGTACTAGACTACCGTAGTACTACTTACACTTCCTCCAACACACAGCACCACAGCACCACGCCACAGCACCACAGCACCACAGCACCCATGCCAGCCACTAACTACAACAGCTCGACCACTCTAATACAACCCCAAGTAAGTTTCTAAATAGTTTCCAACCAAAGCAGAACTCAAGCTTTTCCAGTCATCCAAGGGTGTCATCATTAAATACACTCTTCCCGAATTCTTCTGATCTTTTGAAAAGTCGACATCTTATGCTACAAACAGACTTCACTGGGTGAGGCTCTGGTTTAGAAAAGGCCCAATACTTGCGACAACCTACGTGGCTAGGTACTACTTCAAGAGAAGACATGGAAAGAGGTTCAAAATCTTTCAGTGGATAAGAATGAAATCGAATCAATCTACTAGTAACTACTAGTATTTGGATCCACCATCAAACCACCGAAGCATTATTTAGCCCGTTTTAGGTCCACATTGGTTTTTGTTGAGCACGAAAACGAAGGAAAGCACATAATGCTTTCTTATTCTGAGAAGTTGAAGTAAGGACACATACATACATGTCATGAGTACCAGTTCCACAAAGGAAGTGGGTGAGCCACGTAGAAAGTGTACCAGCGAGCTACCAGCGTGAGTTCTAAGTGGATGGTTGTTTTGTAGTGTGTCAATTCTAGCATCGTGACATTGGGAACGATGACCACAATCGTAAATCGAAAGTTCTACACGCCAAATTACGGTGGACTGCGTGGGTGAGACAATTACGAAGATCTTCAAAGTCTGCGACATCCTAGCTGCGTCGACTGTGTGGCGGAACTCGAGGAGCCGGTCTGTCATTGATGTACTGAGAGTGAGAGCAAAGGGTACAGTACATCGTACAGCGTACCCTTTGCTGGACCACGACTTCGCAGAAGCGTTATTGACCGCTACCGGAGATGTTGCAAGAAAGCTAGATCCGGGATGCCTGATGCCAGGCTACTAGTCTAGCTACAGTACCGTGGCTCTGGCCAGCTAGCTGGAGTACGGTAGCCAGCAGCCAAAGTAGAAAAGCCAATACGCAGCACTCTGCCTCTTCTCACTTTTCACAGTCGGCTTGTTCTTCTTGGTCCGTGCAAGTTGCCCTCTCCAACCTGCATCTTACTCCTGCACCATGACTTCCATGCCTACCGCCTATCCGCATGACCCCTGCGGTCAGGTGCCTTTGCAGCCACCCACCAGCTTGGTCAACCATGGCGCAGGGCAGAGCACTTGGGGTCAGTATCATCCAGTCCTTGTTTCCCATTCATCTCAGGCTTTGCTCTCGCCGGACGCGGTGGCCAACATTCAGACTGCCATCGAACAGGCGGGGCGTGACAATCGGAAAGGCGTCATCGCTTTCGCTTCAGGTGATGCAAGGACGGCATACGTGTTGTTTCGTAGTGCTTTGGAGCAGCTTGAGTGCCTTGGTCCTTGCGTCCATGGAACGGCAGCATGGAATGGCATGCCCGCCCCTGCGAATCTTCAGGCCCTGGAGCAGTCGATGATGAACGCATCCCCACCATTGCTTGAAGCCGTCCCTGTACCGGCATTCCAAGATGGCTACATTTATCTTTATGACAATGTGCTTGATTTCTTGAGAGATGCGCAACGACCAGATTCGAAAGATAGGGAGCGCTTTGCCTCTAAGCTCTCCTTTTATTGTTCCCTCGTTATGTTCAACATTGCCCTGGCCATGCACAAGCACGGTATCGACAACAACGAGAAAGAGTCACTCGTCAGCGCCATCCACTGCTATGACATGTCCATGAAGTCCATCAGCACCATTCGAATCACGGACTACACGGACAAGCTCATGCTGATCATGCTGGCCATCTGGAACAACCAGGCTCAGATCTATTGGTCGTTGCATTGCTATGATCATGCTAAAGAGATCTTGGAAGGTGTGAGGAGGCTCGCTGCAAGGTTGCTATTGGAGCGCTGTCCCAGCTTGGACGAAGCTGATCAAAATCACATCTATGAGTTTGTACTCAATGTTATCACTGTGAAGGAGCCGACCACCGCTCCCTGTGCTTAGCCTTCTTTATCGAGCCTCCAAGCCCCAAGGAATGAATAAAGGTGTCCAACTTCCCCATCTGTTTCCAACCTCCGTCTCCCGCTGTCTATACCGTATCGCAGTGCACAGTCGATATCGATTGCTACATACACAATCGGATCATCCAAATAATTTAAACTGACGTTTGCACATTGATGTCTTTGTGCGAACCATTCACTGTTATAAGGCCATGTGGCCTCGCCGACCAGCCATGCCCAGCTGGAACGCGTCTCCGCGGGAGCATTAGCGTACATTGGCTTCAATGACTCTTTGAAGCCCTCCATTTTGTTTCAGGTTGCTTTTCCTCGTGGAGCTTGATGAAACTGGCCCGGACGACGGCCGGTTCCATCATCAAAAGCTCTTCTGGAGAGTACATCTGAGTGAATTGACTCATCATGTCTCCCAGTGACTTGCCTCCCAGCTGTGGGACCCATTCCATTGCAAGCCTACCGTTGTACTTTGCATATAGGACAGTCGCTTCCTTTTCCTTCTTCTGCTCGTCGTTGATCTGCTGCTTGAGCCGCAACTCTGGAAAGTGCCTTTCAATGAGGGCAATTCCCTCGTCTTCGTCCAAGTAGAAAGGTTGATCGCAGCGAATGTTGCGTTCCTCGATGTATTGCAGGAACTTTTGTATCGTAGGGCGCATCTTGGCACCCTTTCGTATCACCTTAGACTTTCGGCTGATGTACGGGGTCGACCGGAAGTACGGACTCGCAATGATCCATTCAAACATTTCTTCAATTTCGTGGAACCCACGGACCCAGGCACCATAATCAAGCCCCACCAGAGTCAGAATCTTCTCCCAGTCAGCGCTGACTAAGATGACCTTCGTGTAGTTTCCGGTCTTGCGTCTGAAGACGAAGAAGAGACCCCGCTCACCGTACTTGAGGCCCAATGGACGAAACAAACGTCCAATAAGGTTGCCAAGATCGTTGAAGCCCATGTAGTTAGTCTTGGTGAGCATGTGCTCGTGGGATTCGCGGAAAAAGTCCACTTGAAACCCGTGGTACACAATCGAGAAGACTCGACTGCTGATCGAGCCATGCCTCTTGATACCAAGCCCTTCAATTATGAGCTTCTTCACTTCATCCCAGTCACTGCCCTCCGTGACTTTGCTCGACAAAAGAATGTCCACATCTCCAAAGTCCACCTTGGCCCCGTAGTATCGAGGGATCCGATAATTCTCGTTGCCGAATGTTTCATCCAAGAAGACGCGAAGTGCCGCTTCGATCTCGAGGTACCGGTCTCGGGGGATCCGCCCTAGATTCCAATACCCTCCACCCATGGTACAGTAGCTGCGGTTGTGATGCTGTTTTAATTAGCTGCTCCCGCTGTTTCTCTGCTCATAGCACCTTCGTTGTACAATGAAGGGGAAACATGACAACATTGCTGCCTGAGGGCCAATCGTGCGGTGAAACCTGCATCTTCCAAAAATACAGCGTGGAAATGGTTTGTCTCGTCACTCAGCCTCAAGCAGACTCGATGGCCTAAATTCTTCCTTCCCAAAGCAGACCCACACAACTTTACCATGGGACGAGAGTGGCATGTACATGTAGCTACTGTAGCTAGTAACTTCGTGTTTCAGGCAATTGTTTACAGTACCTGGAAGCAGGCAATGATCATCTATCATGATGGCTGACATGGCTGACCGAGCAGGTAACTACAAGGTCTGGCAGCCTGCTCTTCGTCTTGATCCTCGTAAGAAGCACCGATCAAGCAAAACAACCCATTGACGACTACTAGCTAGTATTGTCAGAATGCATTCATCCATATCGGGAGTTGTTTGCTAGCTAGGGTTCTTGTCCCTGATTACCATACAGTAGCTTGCTTCGGTTTGATCGCAACATGCCAGCATCAAACCGAAGCAAGAAGCAAGTGGCCCGGCACGAGTTGCCAGCCATCATGGATCCACTGTCCTGATTGCTTTCAACTTGCCTTTCAGGCTTCTTGTCTACCAGGTATTTTAAATACATGTAACACCCCTTTGGCAGGATCGTGTATGCATACCATGGTGCGGTCCGTAGCATACTTGCAGGGCCTGTTGTTGCAAATCTTTTGAAGCAGAGCAACGCCAAAATACATTCGTATTCTGGCTGGCTTCTTATTCGTTACCCGAACGAATGTGAATTCGATTGATTAGTCTACATGTACAGTACATGTAATCATTCGATTGCATTCAATCACGTACGTGTATGCCGGTACATGGATCGCGTTCTCACCGTCAAAATCTCATCAAGCCGGAACGCCAGGTTCTTAAGGAGGTCCACCGACAACTTATTCACGAGTAGTGACTAACCGTACTCATAACCCAATTTAACTAGCCAGTATCGAGGAGGAACCAAAAAAACTCACGATGATGGATAGTCGATATTGGACTGGCCAATGAGCGCTGTTAGACTACTTCTGCTGTTGTTCTATTGGCTGACACCCTTCCCAAGTTACCCTACTAACAGCCGGTGAAGGTCCTGTCAAGGCAGATGTCGATTGGGGCAAGTTCTATTGGTTCCTGTTAGCAGATGACGCGAAATGACACCTGGCACGGTGTGCAAGCCAAGCCATCTCCAGACAAAAGCTCCGTTGACAGGACCACCACCAGGTTGTAGAGCGTAGTCGACTTCCTATGCCGACATATTTACATTGTCATTGGAAGTGAACAGACTATTTTCTTAGAGGCAGAACAAGCTTGCTCTCTTCTTCGAAAAACAACAACAATTTGCTGCTGAAATCGAGTTTATCGATGCTCCAACATGTCTGTCAGGCCGGCTCTTTTTTCGGTCAGAAGGAATTTCAGGAAAATTGCGCGAAACTTTTTATTTGGCGGGCAGCTTGGACGGCCAGTGCTGTTTCCCTACTATCCCCATGTTCAGACTGAGAATTGCCATTTCGTGGATAATTGTTGCATGAGACCATGAAGCTGAAGAAAGCCGCCGATGCCATCACTGTTACCCACTATGGGTTGGCCTCAGTTGATTTTATGGTAGACCATCTCGTTTCCAAAGATGATCATCCCAGCATTCGAGTTCGCACTGCTGAATCAAGGTACAAGACCACAATTGATCCTGACGCTCCCCTTATTGCGACTGTGCTTTCTGCTAGGAAGGGTCAAATGACCGGAGGGCATGACATCTGGAAGTTTGTTCTGTTTGATGGCAGCAATGCATGCTGGAAGGCAGTAACCAATAGTCTCTTGTCTGATGAGCTACCGGAAGTGAAGAGAGGATGTAATCTTGTGGTAAAGGGATACAATTGGATTCATCTCGCTGGTCCTCTTGGAAAATTCCACAGAATCATGGTGATTGATGAATTTGAATCGAAAGCTGCTCCTGCATGCGAGGCTCGCCCAATTCTTATCATGGATGATCCTGATTTGAATTACATTGGTCAGACTGAGCAGTCTCTTCAGTGCAACACCACGTCGTTTCACCCTGAAGTGGTAAGGAAGTGTGCTCGAACTGCAGAGGTTGTCTTCACTTGTGCCACATGTCTTTTCGATCCACAATTCAACGCAGGCTTCGTGTATGGCTCCCCAGCTTTGAAATGGCAGCTGTTGAGTGGACTTCCGGTGACCGTCAAGAACAGCAAGCAGGATTTCAAGAGACTGTTTGCCGCCAGCTATTTTGACGAATCAGACGAAGAATCCATGGAGTTCTGTGAATGTCATACAAGATACAACTTTGACAAGTGCGCACGCTTCTCCTTTTCGATCCAGTTTTTGGATAAGGACCTTCTATTCAGGAAGATGATGGCAAAGGTACCCCCAGAACAGAAGTCGGATGCTACCTGTTTCGATGAGTTAGAGGCCCCCAAGAAACGATGGATGCTCTATAGCTGGATGGCCACCAATGCTTTCGGAGTACAGGAAAGGTCCAAGCTACCCAGTTGCGTCGAAAACTATGTCCGCCTGAGCTATCCAAATACCAAGGACCACCATGTTTACACTGGCTACCGTCCTTTCTCTAATCAGTCTGTAATGTCTTCGCCTTCTCGGAAGATTACGGCAGGTGTTTCCTCTGAAGAAGTGCCATCCAAAGAAGCTGTTCGAACACTCGAGTATGCTACCAAGGAAGAGATTGCTGCTTCTATTGGATACCCCTACGGTTTCAACGAAGGTTCGAAGGAAGATAAAGATAACTCTGGTGACTCTGGTGAAGATGTTTTTGGTGAACCAACACGTGAGGACTTCGAAGCTTATGCAAAGGAAATTGAGGAGGACGCTTCTCAAAAGAAGAAGGTAGCTGAAAAGAAGATTGATCTGTGGGAGGATGACGTTACGGAGAGGAAGGTTTTTGGCGACAAAACCAATTCGAAGAAGCAGTTCAATTAGATGCCACTGTGGTTGAAGTTGTTTCCTATCGGTAGCACGAACAGTAATTACAGAAATGTGTTGACGTTTAGTACTAAGAACAGATAACTATCGATTATCAATCTTCTAGATCCATTAGATCGTCTACTAGTGCCTTGTGCAGCTCCTCTTCAGTGCTGTTGTCATTGTTCAATGGAATGTTGTCCAGTAGTGATGTCTGTGTTGACTCTTGTTCTGGTAGCGTCATTGTTGCCAGCTCTTCGACAGAAGGAAACTTACCAGCATTCTTCTTGTTGTTGACACAAGCTTTGCTTGTACTTCTCTTGTGGCCCCATTCGCCACAGCTTCTACACCAGTTATCTTCATTCATTCCATCAGGACAATCCCTGACTGGACCAATTGGGCTTTCCTTTTCCGTCCCATCCATCTTTCTGCGTCTTCTCTTCTTTGTTGGACGACCATCTTCACCTTCCACCGCAACACAGGACTCATAATACTGATTGTTTTCTCTGTCTTCTTTCAGTTTCACGTGATACTCGAGTAGTTTCTTGTAAGTTTTCTGGTTGCGTTTCAGTTTGAACTCGGTTGTCTTGGACCTAGCATTCTTCTTTTTCCTTCTCTCGTCCACAACGTCAAGGTAGTGCCTGGTTCTCTCTTCCATTTCCATGCCAAGCTCGAGGAACAGCTGACTGAAGAACTCTTTAGGTCCCAGCATAAACACTCCCAGTGCTGTCAGCAATCGATTCCTCAACGTCAAAGTACCGCTGTAATTCTTGTTCTTTGGTGCATACCAAGTAATCAGATTGTTGAGAGTATTCATTCACATTGGTGTCTCCGTCATGAGCTACCTCTTCCAATCTGTTCATACGAATGAACCTTCGAAAGATGTTCTTCACAGCCATGTACAGCTCTGGCTCTTTGTGTTTGCATCGATACTGCTTATTGGATTGCTTTCTTTCTTCTTCGGTCTCATCTTTCCTCTTGCAGAAGTCACCACAAAATTCATGGTTGTCGAAATGATGTTCAACTGGAGCACTAGCAAGAGCGGGCCACTTGCTCTTTGGATGGTCTTTCAGTTTCTTCGTCATGTAGACAAAAGACACTCCCAACCGTAGAACATCGCCATCTGTCATTCCATGAGAAGATGCTTTTGGCCTGTTCTTCAGCTTGTACAAGTGATTGCGTACAGACTTCTTCCGATGTGAAGGATCTGCAATGAAGGATGGTTCAGGTACGTTCCCTGGCAGAATGCCACCTTCTCTTTTCTCGTGTTTCCAACTCTCTCGTCCAGTGGCCTTGCTGATTGTTAGTGTACTCTTCTTATCTGGAAGAACTGTCTTCGAATGGTTCTTGAGATAATCGTTGTTTGACCACCGTGCATTTGCTTTCATTGTGGAATCGTCATCTGTGATAACTCTCCTAACTCCAACGTTGTACCCATTCCAAGTATCAGTCAGCATTCCGACCAGAGCAGCGCATTCCATCGATCCAGAAGAGCCAGTATGATTCTTTTGGCAATCATGATTAGGAGGATCCGTCCCATTGCCCTCATGCTTCCGACAGAGAGAACAGAACTTGTTCATCAAGGAATAAGCAATGGGTTTCCGTGTCAAACTGCCAACCAGACAAGCATGCCCACTATTCGAATCATATCTTCTTCCACTTGAACGCTTCTGCCAACCCATATCCATAGAAACAACGACAGAGGCAGTTGCAAACCAGTAAGGGGGTTTTTGAGGAGGATCGTCAGATCCCTGATGAAGAAGCCAGTCTCTCCAAGCAGCATAGTCGAACTCGCCATTCTGAATATGATCCTTCATTGAAAGTTCTACCTCACGCATCATGTTCTGCATTATTGCTGCCTCGGTGACCTTTCGTATCTTTGGATAGATTGCCAGCTCCACCTCCCTGAAACTGTGGGAACTCATTGAACCTGATCCAGGCATATCCAGCAATCCCAACAAACGAGATGCCTCCATTCCTCCGTCACCAGAAGCAAGAAGTCCAAGAACAAACCTCACGTTGGTTTGACACTGGTTTCGGATCAACCTAGAAGTTTTGCCTGAAATATTCGTGAGAGAAACCTCAGCTTGGAGAACCTTCGTTCGTCTGTTTGGTGGATTGCATTCATTGGAACGGCAGACAAGTTTGGGTATGCATGCCACTCCGACAGCGTCAAAGAACAAATCCATGGACCCAACCTCACCACAATCAGGGCATGCAGTCCCATCCTTTATCAAACGGGCGAGGTGTGCGGTTTCAACAATATTGCGAGTTGGCTTTGCTTCGAGTGGTGATCCAGCTTCCAGTTCGTTATTTTTGTCATCGTCATCTGCACGATGTACACTGATTGTTGTTTCTAACTGAACAGTTGGGATGGTTGAAGGTGCACCCTCATTTATCCGTGACATATTCCAGGCAACTGCATTCCTCTTCTCACCAGATATCTTCTTATCCCATCTATTCAAGCCAACACCAATCCTTTGGGCCTCAAACTTTGCTTTCTCTTTCTTTGTTCGGTCCAAACTTTCAATAATTTCCTCAAAACTGTGGGGAGTCCCCTTACTACGCATGCTCCTGCCGCCCTTGAAGGGGGTGACAAGAGGAACCTCATGCCGCCCTTCCTCTTGAGACTGCTTCTCCTCCTCCGCACTCATTCCAACAATACACCATTCTGCTACATCTTTCACTACACATTGATTACAACCAAGTTGACAGTGCTTCATCTAGTACGATAGCTAGCCACACGTGTTCCGTGTTTTCCTCTTCGATTGGATCGAAATTGACCACGTTACACATTGAAGCTCGGCCAACTTGCAAAATCTGATTGGACTAGACTAGGTGTTGATTAGATTGGCCGGCAACATTCGTTATGGAATTTTGATGTGTATTGACTGTTAGAATTCCCTATTCCACATAATGTGGGTTCGAGCTTCGAGCTCCGAAAAATACCTAGAAGTCGACTTGGATGAGGTGCATCGTCTGTCCCTCCATCGGGTATCCGGTGGACCTCCTTAAAAAAAAAAAAAAAAGTTTCAACGTGTTCTCTTTGAAGAGCGGGCTGTAATCTTCGCAATGCCTTTGAAGGAAGCTTTGTGCCAGTTGAAGGGAAGTACACCACTACTCTCGGAGCTTCGGAGGTAGTTCGAGCACAATTACTATAACCAAGACAGTGGTCAGACTGTTCGGAGAAACCGAAATGACACTTCCCCTTGGAGACAAACTGTAAAGTTTACTAAAGCCTCTAGAAAGTCTCTGACACCTTTTCTGGTCTTATGCCACTAATCGTGACACATATAAGCCAATGACCGATGAAAAGTGAGAAGTAAGGCTATATGAAATTGCCCCATACAGTCATTTTGTGTGGCATCGGTAAATCCATTTGTTCTCCTTCTGGTCACTTGAAAGAATCGCTTTAAGTCCAAGTTCCGTTGACGCAGAATTCTAACGCGGTACAGAAGGTGTCAGGCACTTACCACCTTCCCTGCCTGACACCGGTACTAGCTAGCTACTGGTACATGTACGCTGTACGGTAGCTGCCACCGAGCAAGCTGCGTACCGGTAGCTGGTACCGCCAATAATCGGAGTACTGGTACATGACTACGCAGTTCAACCAGCGGCCAGTAGTCACCACTGGCCATGCCAATACCATCACGCACGGAAGAGATCTTCGTTGATTCGTTGAGCCTTGTGTGGGCTCTGTTCGGTGGATCAAGTGAAACATGGTAGGAGTGTTCTTGCGGCTGAGCCCGGCTGGCAATCATAATAAAGGGCACTTGGGTAAATATTTGGTTCAGACAATTATTATTTGTTCCGGTTCTCCCTGATCATTGAGTTTCTTTGGCGGGAATGAGTTGTCTTGGGCATATGGCTACCGGCTAGTAGCCGGCTAGTACAAACGGTACGTTAGGATGTGATACTCAAGCAATTTAGAGATGGTTCCGGGAATCAAACCATCACCAAAGCAATGTCTTCGAAAGAAGCAAGATGCCAGGCTTCTGTGCAGGGAAGGTTCTGCAAGAATGACTTGACAAGCCAAGCAAGAGCTCAGAGGCGCGAGTGCGAAAGCATCCTGGCAGAACAAGACACCCTCCACTTCTCGTCAAGGTCAGCTCACAATTTTCAATTCTCATCAATTGATTATTAACTTTTGCGTGGGAACACCAAGTTCGAATTGCATACTACATCTATCTATCGCATCTATCTATTTCTCGAACACCATGATCCCCACCTTTCTCAACGAACAAGTGCTCTGCGTCAGCAACGACTCTACCACTACCAAGCCGCAACACAGCACCATGAAGCGCACGGTCCACTTTCCCGAAGAACAAATGGTAGTAGTCCACGACGTCTTGGCCCGCCAAGATTACACGGAAGAAGAACTCTCTGCTTGCTTTTTCGCCAAGGGCGACTACAAGTCGTTCAAGAAGAGCTCCATTGTCACTCTGCAAAAATGGCGAGCCGGAGAATTGCCAGCTGGTGGCACTACCAAACACTGCATGCGAGGATTGGAATGCCGTACACGAGAAGGTGCCCAACAACGCAAGGAACTCAAGCAAGCGGCTCGCACGGCATTAATGACGGAAATCCAGCGTCAAATGGTGGCGGGTGTCCAAGACGAACTGGAATTGGCGGCTGTTTACCACCGAACTTGTGCTCCTCAGCAACATCAAGCATCCATCCAAGGCATGTGCGATCAACTGGAAGCACAAGAATATTACACATTGGCACAGGCTGTGGCACCCAAGCAAATCCACAGCACCACCACCACCACCAACGCATTGCAACTACAAGCCATTCTGGATTGTCCAGCGCCCACCACAGTTGTGGGAGTTGCCGCATAGCGTCTTTTTATCCTGTTTGTCATTCCAGCAGAAGAATTTTAAAATACACAAGAGCTATAATATAACATACAATGTAACACTCCTGATATCCAACATCATAAACTACCCCTTAGTATATATTTAAGCTAGCTACCTACCGTACCATCCATCGGCAGAAGCAAGGATAGACCATGGTCGAACCGTCGCCCATATTATGCGGATGGCTCCGGGCGGTGCTATAATAGCTAGCTAGTCTAGTAGCTTTTCCATAAGATACCACGTTGTCAGCAGAGCTTCAGCTGCGAGGAGCTGCGATGAGAACTTTCGACGAAGAACGATTCTTCGTAAGGATCCAATGATTCCCATGATCCTGATGCGAGGCAATTGCCGTCGAGGCAGTAGTTGCAGGTTGACATGACATGGGTGCGAACACAACACGTACCAAGATTCCATCCAATTTAATTATTATAGCACTCTCACTTTTTGCTACGAAATCGAATCCGTGCGAATTCGAATCCGTCCCCTCTGTTCGGGTAGCAGCGTTGCTAGACTAGCTAGCTAGCATAGATAGATAGTCTAGCTTGCTGGTAGCAACTTCTCCCTCAGAAAACTACCTTACCTAGCTAGAAATATCTGGTGCAGCTACAGGGCCCTCCACAAGGCTGAGCGATTTTTAGAAAGTATATTATTTTATTTTTACAAAACAATGTTATCAATCAACCGTACCGAGCCTACTTTGACTGCCAACGAAATGATGGCTCCCTCGGATCGATGGACGTCATCATCTATAGGTCTCATGTTGGCTTTGTTGTCTATTGCCACGTATTGGACTTCCGATACCAACGGTTCACTGGCCAAAATCGACTCGACCACCTGTTGGATGTGTGCCGCGGGGATGGAAGATTCTGCCGGCAAGCCCAAAAACAAATCTCGGGCGGCACACAGGGACCGATAGACCACGGGAGCCGCTTGTCGTTCGGTGGTTGTCAAGTAAGCGTTGCGACTGGACATGGCCAAACCATCGGGTTCTCGGACCGTGGGTATTACATTGACATGGAGCGGCATATCCAGGTCGTCCACAATTCGTTGAATCAGACAGCATTGCGCCGCATCTTTTTGACCAAAATAAGCATTGGACGGTTGGACAATATTGAACAGTTTGGTGACAATAGTAGCAACACCACGAAAGTGGCCGGGACGGGCCTTGCCTTCAGCAATGTCTTCAAAACCCTGGGTATAATATAGATAGATGTAGTCGTATGCATGGAAAAATCGAATCAGTTTTTTGGATTGTTGAGTGATCATCGCAATGGCGTGGGTGACATAGGATGGATGCAACCACAAATCATTGACGCACCTCCACGGAAACAAAGGAATCATGATTCTTGCCGTACATGCTGTTTGCATCAGGGGCAAACAAATGATCCTTTCATGGCAAGTCAAAAGATGCAAAAGAACATGCAAAAGAACATGCAAAAGCACACATCAAGCACACAAGATCAGTTCTGTTTACCCCTCCAAGCACGTCATTTTCTCTTGATTTTTTATTCCCACGTACCACACCTAGGTCAGCCAGCAAATCCTGGTCCTGTTCCAGTTGTCTTGGATACTGCTCAAAGTCTTCCCCCTCCCCAAATTGAGTAGGATTCACAAAAATGGACGCCACCACAATATCATTCCTTGCTCGCGCCTCCTTGACAAGAGATAAATGTCCTATAGTTAGGATAATTTTCATACAGCAGAACAAAAGAACGAACAAAGAGGAGATTAGCTTTCGTCGAGCAGAAGGCCAACATGAAAGTGCATACCATAACTTTCTCTCTGTTCACTCACCCTCGTGCAGAGCTCCCATGGTGGGCACAAAACCAATCTTGACGGCAGGATCTAGGGCATGGCGCATGGACCGAATAGAGGCGACAGTCCTATGCAGCGTCAGCGAGGACCTGGCAGTGGCAACGGCAGCTTGCATGGTCGACCTTGTATGAAGTAGTCTAGTAGGATGTGTTTCTACTTGTGTACCGTAACGCTTCAGAACAGAACAGGCTAAACGATCTCTTGCTGGCCACCAGGTACGATACCAAACTGGACACGATCTCGATAGCTACAAGGCTGGTTGTGCTGTTTGACTGGCGGACTGGTTCCGCCAACAGGACGATATCGGTATGTGATATCGAAACTTGTGGGTTCTGACAAAGCCATTGCCAATGAATTTCATCGGCAATCCACATAAATACAAAGAGGCTGTCGTCAGCCGTGGGATTCAACAGCGACGGACAGACCAAAAGATACCTTTTGTGCAAAAACGTGCATCAACCACAGATAAGCCAGCTAGCTAGTCTAATAATGGCAACCCAAGCACCTCACCTAGGGTCGCCTCGGTCTCGCAGGACACACCGCGTCGAAGAGCGTCAAGGAGGCAGAAAATGCCAAGTTTGGCGCGCAGCGCCAAGTTTTGCACGAGCTCCAGGAAGAGGAGGGAGGAGGAGGAGGAGAGAGGAAGAAAGTGTAAGAGAGAAGAGCTAGCAAGTAGTAAGTGTATATCGTAGAGTATGTACCGCTAGCCACCCACACAAAACAGCAGCATGCAATACAATGCAATACTATGCATGGCAAACAGAGAATATCTCATTCGTTTTGTAAGTGTTGTTGGTTGTTGGTTGACCGTATGATTGCCATGGTGTGAGCGATTTTGGTTCCTGGAGCTCACCCTGGATCTGCCAAATGTGCCAAACTAAAACACTTCTTTTGCAGTACTGGTCTACAGGGCAACTCTGCTTTTCTCTTCAGGATGGAAAATGCATGGCCATAAGTCTCTTGATCAACTTTGGCACCACTCAAAGAAGCCAAAAGACTGACAAGCCGCCAAGGCCACAAAGCAAAACGATGGAAGAATGGCTCAGTCGTCGAGTCGAGTTGGAGTCGTCGAGTGGATCGCGACAGCCTCAGTCAAACCAATGGCTACCTTATGACGTCTACTCGACGAGTACCGGTACCACTGTTAGGACGAGGTAAGTCTGTTATCGCTCAAGTGTGTTATTATTGAAGGTGCAGCACTGACTTCTCTCCCTCATTAAATTAAATTCCTATGGCAAACAGGAGAGAAATCCGTGCTTGACCCCCATTGTTGAATCCATCAATCCAACGACTGGTACGGTGCTACCGGTGCGTAATTTTTTGGAGTCCATCGATTTTAAGATTGCACCTTTGTTGTCCGAGCCTCAGTCCGTCGAGTGACGAGTGACTCAGTCCATTGGACGCACCTCTGTTATCCAAGCTTCACTCAAGCGGACCTTCTCCGGTGCAGAATGGAAAGCCATCCCTCATTGAATTCTATGGACCATGGGATGGCAGTCAGTTCTCGGCCCATGACAGTCAAGTTGGTGGAATTTGAAAAACAAGAGTAAGTCTCCGGTTTTCTTGAGCAACCATCGAGAAGAGAATCTCACTGCTATTCTTACTTTCTCTTGGGCCGCTCCTGACTGCCAAGGAAACATCATTGTTGAGTCGATCGATCGCTTAGGAGAACAAGAGGAGGAGAGGCTGCTGTCGATCGAATCGCTACGGAGTACGAAGGAGACTGTGAAGTCCAGCCCTATTAGCAGCCTGAACGGAACAGATCTATCGTCGTGGAGTCATTGAATGGCAACAGTGCACGACAATTCGCACACCCAGAGGAGAGCGGATCCTCTTATTGGATTAAAAAACAACACTTTATTGTGGGATGAACATGGAGAGTGTTGAGCGTTCGAGTCTTCACCAGAGTGTTGCCTCTCTGATGGAAGTTGCGCTTGCTAGCCATTTCCCGGATGAGCACAAGTCCTCGAGGACTTGGTGACTTCGGCTAAGTCAAAGACTTGGTGGTCTTGCTCGGAGCATGTAATAGATCACTTCTAGTAGCTAGAGTACTAAGTAGAAAAGTCTTGAATTGATACAAGTAGAGTCTAACCAAATACTCGAGTAGACCAGTAGCAACAAAGCTACCGGTACTAGTAGTAGTACTAGTTTGTGGCGTCGTCGCTATCATTGCGTGGATTGGTGGCACTGTGTGTTGCTGTTTCCCCAGCTCCGCAGTTCTGTTCTGCAAAACTCCATTGCCTGCCACCCTGCATACATAGGGTTAATCTTTGTCTTCTGCAAAACTTGTTCGTCCTGAGCCAATCAGTGCGAGGGGTAAGGAGCAAAGAGGAGAAAAGTAGCCCAGTAAATCTTCCTCTAGCTAGGGGGATTCTGCCAGCGCAACCAAGTGGGACATAGCTTTTTGCGTTGCTTGTTGGTGGGCTAGCAAGTAGCAAATCTTCACAATCTAGAAAGATTCCATCCACAAGTGTCAGACGCTCTCTTCCATTAGATGTTGTAGCTGGGTTCATCTTGCAATTCGTGGAAAGCTACAGTACTACCCAGAGAACAAGAGAAGAAGAAACCAGCAGAGCCCACAACGTAATACCTACCGCCCAGCCCTTCGCAGCTCGCAATAGAACTTACTCCGAGAAACAACAGGAGGCAGAAGAAGAAGTAACACCTACCGCCCAACCCTTCAGCTCCCCGCAACAGAACCACATTAGAGTACTTCATTCTAAGTAGTGTTTCCTGACACTTCGACACTTTGAGGCCTTTTAGGCAGGTAGTCTAGATTAATTTTGTTGCGTTGCTGGAGTCTATCTCCTGCTAGCTAGTGGTGCCGTGCTCTACCATGGTACCGTTTTCGGTTTCGGACCACTTCCATGATGCCGGTTACTCTTCTTTCCATCCAGCATCTATCTACCGGTAGCTAGATAGCCAACCAGGTCGGAAATTCAGACGGTGTCCTTGGCGGTTCTCGAACCCGATTGTTGGCATCGAGAGCTGCATCGAGTGTCCTTCGGGCGGTCTTGCGTGGTCTTGTCCATTAATTAATTTATTGAACCTTGTGTAAACGTGGTCACAAAAGGTATGGTTTCTGTCTTGATGACCCAGTGTGGACATTTACTGCTCCAAGAGTATTCCTTCATTGTCATCAGCAGAAAGCTACGTCAGAAAATATCGCCAAAATAAATGGTCATATTCGACTACTGTAAGATCACAGTGGCGAGGCGGTATTGGCGATGACAGCAAGATTCCACGTACAACAAGAAAGTACCACTGGCACAGGCCCAAACCAGCATCTTCAACCCAAGGAGCGCGCGACAAGAGGGTGGTATTGTTTAATGTCATACTCCTGTAGAAATGACTACTGGCACTCTCTGGTCATTGAGAACACTGATTAGATCTGATTAGTGTCAAAACAAGAGTACATGGACATTCCAGCAAAAAGTGACTTTGGAAAGTGGCTGTTTTGCTGTTTTGGTACGAAAGAGTTCTCCCTTGTGTCTGCGTTGTGAATGGGGTTCCACAAAATTGCTTATTGTTACTAAATCTTCGAAGCCCACTGTTTCATTTCGGAGAACGTTCACTATGTCATGTTGAATCTAGCATGTTCAAATGAAGGACCCAGCAGAAATCCGATTTCTCTAGAACAAGGTCCACCAAAATTGTGGATTTGAACAGCGTTCAAAATAGCTTTCGCCTTTTTGTGGCGGGCGGCTAGCAGACGACAAACTAGCTAGCCAGCAACAGCTAGCTAAACCGTGCCCTCATGCTGCGGTAGGGTATTATTTTGTAGCTGCCGGGCCATACGGTTGTCTAGCTAGCTAAATAAAGATCCAGAGGTACTCATACTCGAAACATGATGCATCTAGATCTCCGCGGCTCACGTCAGTCAGGAGTATCCATGTCTACCTTTATTTTAATGGTGAGACCTGCTGCCAATCAAGCGCACCCCTGTTGCTGAACGTCTGCAAGCAAGGGAGCCAACGCATTCCCTGTGATTAAACTCCCGACCCAACCATCATGCCATACAGTAATAAAACATCATGTGCTTACCATTCTGGTACGATAGCTTTTTATTCCCATCCACGTTTATGTAGGTTTGTTTGAATGATGGGATTGATATCGTATGATAGATTTGGATTGCCCTTGAAGGATTGTGTCAAACGGTCTTCTCAATTCTGGTGACCTGGTTTGACCAATCGGAGACCTTGATTTTCACGACTGCCGGAACTCTGTCGGTCAAAGAGCCTGCATAGGCAAGACTTCATTGAGAGTCGACTCCGCGTGCCAAATGGGATTGATCTCTGGTAGGATTTCTACGTGAAAGGCCATCCGGCGATTGCATGACAGAATGATAAAAAGGCACTCCTGAGTAGCGAAATTGGAGGCTTTTTGTTTGCCTTCACCTCTCAGCAGTTTCGCTCGCTCCGTCGCTGCATGGCACGGAGGTTCCTTTTCAATTAATTTTGCGACACTCAAACAGATCCAGTGCCTCTCCACGAGCAAAACGAAATCCAAAGGTAAACAGCAAAATCAGAGCAACAGCGATTGAGCACACAAATTGCTCGAGCTACAAAAGCAAAACACAAACTTCCACACTACACTACTATACATACTTCACTATACTACTACTATGAAGATCCCCGCTACATGGACCGAACGTGATGTCATCACTTCTTCTTCATCATCCTCTACTTCTACCAAACCGCAGCAGCAACAGCGCAAGCCACAACAATGCCTGCGGTTTGCGCCAACCATTGAAGTCGCTGAAATCCCCAACCGCTTTGACTACAGCCGCGAAGAGATTGAGGATTCCTGGTTTCAAAGCCACGAGTACGAAGAGTTTCGGGAAAATGCGTACATGACGGTGGGGCTCTTTCGAGCGGGTCTCTTGCCAGGGGGTACTAGTAAGGACCACTGTATGCGCGGACTGGAGTGCCGTTTGGTAGAAGTGGCGCGTGAACGGGAACAAACACGCTATCAAGTCACTGCGGCGGTGTTGAATGAACAATACCGTCAATACCGATTGGGATATGTCTATCCGCAGGCCATTGCGGATCTGTATCATGCGGTTTCCTGGAAATCGCAGTACGGCGCTTACACACGCGCCATGTTGGACGAACAAGAACAAGAGCAACTCAAAAAGACGTTCTACCACAAGAGCAACAGTAGTCGTCGTTCCGATGCCAAGAATGTCCTGCGTAAAGTCATTGACATTGAACGCGTCGACAACGAATGGGGGATGGACGCTTCCTGTTCTTCGCAGTCCATTGCTACTAGCAGCGCCGATTTTGACATCAACTCTTTTTTCCAAGAGTTGACTATTGCGGCGCAATAAATTCATTTTCATAAGCTTTCTGTACAAAAAGCCGAACAACAACAACCATCTTTCTGTCTGTATGATCTATACTGCTTACTACCTACACCACCACCTACCTGCATGCCCCTGTTGACATGCTACTTTACACAAGTTCTACTACTACTACCCAATACCCAATAAAAATTTATCCTAAATAGATCCAATTTGTATTCCACACAACACCGTCTGTCTACCTATCTAACTAATGCTAGCTAGCCACGAGCTGCAACGCACAGATCGGATCCGATGCCGATACTCCTCTCTCCGCACTTATCCGAACACTCAAAACTGTCAACAAGATCCAACAGCCCGTGTGATCAGTAACAAGCGGGAGGGTCTGCATCCAGCAAGTTGCCGGCTAGCTAGCTATCCCAGCCACAGCCGTACTGGTAGAGATAGCCGCAACGAACAAAAGCCATTGCCCCTCCGACATTGAGTTCTCTTTCCGTCACAAAGCAGATGGCAACAGTTCGGTGAGCGAACAACTGCCCCACCGTACGTCAGTGGGACGGCACCGCTATGATATCTTCCTTGCTTTACGGGATCCAATGGCGTTGACCAGCACAACTAACTACAGCATCTGCTCAATCATGGTACGACTAAGTCGAAAAGACACACTTGAGAGGTAGCGACGATGGGACTCAAATCGGCTGGATTGCGGCCAACAACCTGGTAGCCACGAGGCAAGCGTAGCTACCGGTAACCATCCGGCAATGGTGCTACAAGCGGAGGAGGTATTGCCGCTAGCTAGCTATCTACCCTAGCTAGATAGCACACCCACCGGCATCCATGCCAAAGCAGCCAGGGTACGAGCAAGCTCAGCAAACAGCCACAAACAGATACGGAAGGATGATGGAAACGTACCAATGGTAGACATGGCTCACCCAACCAAGCGACGTATGGAAGAGAACCGGAGACGAACCAGCAGAGGAGAGAACACAACCTCGGCAAGAACGCATCCCGCCCTCCAGAGGTATCCAATCTCTCTCTGCGGTCTCGTTTGCGAGCCCGCCCCAGATGGCAATCTCCCTGTGGTTTCATATTCTCTCTGTCGGTTCGTTTCTAGCAGATGGCAAGCTAGCTAGGCGCTAGTTCGGCGCCTTTTGTTGTGAATTGTTGGACAAGGGGGGATTGGTTGGTTCGGCAGTTGGTTGACTATAAAGCAGCAGCTGGAAGGACTGGACCGGAGGATAGAAAGCACTTCGTTGCTGAAGTCGTGTGCATTGAAACTTCTCGTACTGACAGCTAGATCGCAGCCTTTTGTTGTGGATTGTTGTGGATTGGCGTACAAGGAAGAGGATGACAACGCGTGGTAGCGCTCGTTCCTTGCTGGCTCGAAGCCCACAGTTGTTGGGCCGATCGCCGACTAGCGTCGTCCCCTAGAGACAAGGGGCGTTGGACTTTGTGGCATATCCTTTAGGATCGTTCCGATTAAGCTTTGTGCGCTTGCCTTGCTGATTGATTTCGTCAAAGTGAATGATTGAATCGTCCAGTGCTACGGTCCAAGTCTTTACTGTATCACAAACAATCGAGATTGGACATGAGCCTACTGTGCGCAGCATGATGACGTGTCCTTGGAGAATCGAATCATTCCTGATCAGGTCCATACCTATAGAAGTACACCATGGTAACATACACGTTCTTCACTGAGGTGCCGACGACCAGCGTGGGTGTCCATAAACTCTGTGCGCCCTGGTGGCATGGGCCTGAGCTCCCCCAAGGAATCCCATGATGTGATCGTGATTTCCTTCCTAGAGCCCATGTTGGATGTTCCTACAGTATTCATGTCTGTGATGCTGGGGGCTTGTGTGGGTCATGTGAACGGGATAGGACACGACAACCCGCTGTCTTCTTCCACTTCGACTTGGAGGACGTAAAAGATGAGTAAGCATTACCAGTGTGGTTCTGAAGATCGTCGGCAGAGTCCTCTGCCGAATCGCTGACCCCAACGTCAAATTCCCTTGTAGAATCTGTAGGTTCGTAGTCGTCAAAGTTGCCAAGACTGTCGAGGGTCGGATGTTCGGTCAAGTCGATAGTGAACAGGAGTTCCATGAGATCTGGCTTTTCTTCCAAGCCTGAAATGTGTTCGTCCATGAGCCTGTCGGAAATTCCGGTAGACTCTTCCTCATCTCCATCAAGAGCACCACCATCACGGCCACGGCCGGCATCGCCAGAATTGAAACCATTGTTCAACCAAGTATCTCCAGCTTTTGGAATGTAGGGACAACCAAAAGCAGCCAAAGCAGTTTGCTACAGCTTCTTTTGGAACTAAGTGAAATCCTTCCCGCCATCCAATGTATCCTGTTTGCCCTGACTCTTTGGCATGCATCCTGCTGCGCAGATGAACAAGCAAGCACAGCCAAGGGTTGGAGCGGGAGATGAAAGTACGAATCTGGGTGGCTGCGACGAGAGGGAAGCCAGAGCCGTAAGAAGAAAGGGGAAGCTACCTGGTACCAACTACAGACAGGTTCCAAGTATTCTTACCATCGTTGGGCTGGCCCCTTTGCAATTGACACTGTCCCTCATCTTTGTGACCCTTTCCGGCTGGGGTGCTCTACAGATAAGTTCCATCCCTCAGGCACAATCAATCAAGTGAGTTCGGTCGATGCTCAGGCTGGTTGAATGTTGGGTGCAGGAGAAATGATGGGATCTGGCATTAGACCAACAATCTGACTATGTTGTCTCCTAACACCACCAAAGATCCTAGAAGAATCTGAAGGATGACTGATCCCAGAAATCTTGCGATGACACCTTGCCGTAGCCCAAACCCGCATCCCTCAAAGACCCACTCATCCCAGCCGTCGTGTCGAGCCCACGTTCAACAAGCCACATCATTGCGACCACCTGATACTGCTCAAAATACAAAGTAGTTCTTAGATTGTAACTGTTCTACGATAGCTTTCTGATGGATTCGATTCTGATGTTTCTCGTTGTTTCGGTTTGCCTGGCTACAAACGAAGCAAAGTGCCGAGTGGAGCTCAACGAGAAAGGATCTTGGACGTTGTTTTGAACTCGGAAGATACACTTCTTTCACCGGGTGACGTGACTCACTAGGGTTCAGGTTGAGTCTTCGTTCGTGCTTCTTTCACATTCTTCGGAATTTCTTCCTTCTTTCAAGTCTCAAGCTTTCATCTTCATTGATGTTGTTGCGGTCCTTGGTTGCGTGGGATTGCATTCAGAGATATGGCTCTGTGGTTGCGAAGGAGGCAGTCTTCATCCTCTCAAAACAACGAAACCATGAAAAAGCCATCGAAACAATGAAACTGTTGCGTCGTAGTACCGCCACAAAATGCATGACACGGCGCGCTGCCGTTGTTCTGCTTGCATGCGCTCTTCCTCTTGCAGTGTTTGGGCAAGGAATCAGGGCCACCAGCAAGTCGCACGGTGCGACTCCCGAAGACTTGCGTCGCATGAAAAGTGCTCATTGGATGAATCAATGGCAGGTTGCTCAGTCCGTCAACTTTACTGATATTGACCAGTCTCCGTATCCAACAGGTCCATACGATGCCACAATTCCACGCAATGCCAATTGCTACGTAGTCTTTCGAGACAAGGATAAAAAAACCTATGATATGATTACAGCCACTGAACCACCCACAAATGAACACAACTATGGTGTCTTTCTGTCTCACAAGTCACCTTGTGGCGTCTGCAGCAATCTTGTCGATCTAGCCGTCTATCTGGAGAAGCCAGACTTGACCAATCCAGTCCGCATATGTGGCTTGGCTTCCTTGCTTTCCAAGGATGCCAATCGGGACTGTCTCGCCAAAGTCATTGGTTTCAGTGAACCCTGTGCCGCCATTTGGTTTCACAATACACAGCATACACGCAGTAGGTGTTTCTCGCTCTGCATAGCCCGACTCCTCACTCCCAACAATGCTGGCTATGGATTCAGCAACCCTTGTCGTCCCATGGACGAAGATGATGACGAAGATGATGACGAAGATGATGCCGCTGGAATGTGTCAAAATACCATCAATCGACAACCTGCTTGTGCCGATTTTCAATATCAAACCGGAAGCAAGTACCGCCTCAACGCCTGCTTGCAGTGTGACGAATGTCAGTCAGGACCACTCTTCCAAAAGATTGCTGGACGCACGAGACGGGCCTCGGGAATTCAATCCGGCATCAAACGACCAGATATTCCACATATCAATCACAACTATTTTACTACGACCAACAGCAGCAGCAGCAACAGCAGTCATAATGTGGTGCTTGGGGTTGACGTGAGCTGAGTGGAGGCACGCTGATTGGCAAGCTATGGAATAGGACGTTCCAAATGAGAGGCACAACAACAACGCTTGATTCTTCTATTCACGCTCATCTACTATTTTAAAAGTTCATTATAAAGAAATGTACAGTACAAGTTGTACAATGGAGAAAGTATTCTAGGTCACCAGAGGAGATGTGCCAAGACAATAATATAGTAGACATATCTTGAAACACTGATAACAAAACAAATGGCTGGGCATCCCCAGCCCCACGGACATCACACAGACAGCAGGGCACAACACAGACGAGAATGACATCACCACAGACACCTGCCGGCTGGTTTTTCGTGTACGCAAACTCCTGTCCCTGTTCCTACAAATAAGTCTGGCACTGCCTCCAAGAAGACTAACCAGATTCCACCTCTTCTGGGTTCTTGGCAGCAAACAGGAATCTGAATGCAGGTATCGCAATAACCATGACACCAATTCCAACCATCAAGAGTGTCCCTTGCAGAGTCCACTGCCTCTGTTTCTGATCTGCCTGCGCCTGCCCCCCCTGTAACAACAATGCCATTGTTGCTTCCTCCGCAGGAGATGACCATTCAACGGTCTGAGTTGACCAGTCAACGGGCTGAGTGATTGCGACGCCAGGCTTCTCAGCATGTGGTGGCACCGTAGCATTGACACTGACTGGACTTTGTGTTGGCTGTGGCGGTATGCTAGATCTAATTGATGGCGCGGGAGGCGCCTCGAGCACGTCACGATCAGGAACGTTTGTCTCAATCTTACCAGAAGGGCTGCTCGGCGCACAAGCAATGTGTGTCGGTGCCTCCTGTATCGTGCTAGTGGCCGCTGGCTTGGAAACAGGAGCTGTTCCCAACGCCACCTCGCTGCCATCTGACTTGTCGATTTTATCAGCTGGACTCTCCAAGATTGTATGGCTATTGTCGTGGTGCGATTGTTCATTCTCCATCATTCTTGCTCGCTTCTGTGCAGGTTCTGGACATGCATCCTCGCCCTTGCCTCCTGGATTGTCGTTTCTGACCATAGCTGGCTTGATACCACTTTCGACACTTTCAACAACGGAAGCTTTGGGAGGATCCACCAAACGGTCATGGCGTTTCACTCCACGGCTCGTGACAGTCTGCCGCATTTCATCGAGTGCTCCCGAGATGATACCATAAACATAACCATGTCTGCCATAAGAGCTTGGCGAGCCCTTGACATTTTCTTCTTCTTCTTCTTTCGAGTACTCTAAATGGTTCGTTTGCATGAAGTTTTCAGCCATTTGCGAGACCCGTTGCATTGGCTTGTCCATGGTTGTGCTTTCATCGCACACAGGAAATGGATCATACAACGCCAATTGGATCCTTCTGTGGTTTTCTTCTGATGCATCACCAACCCATGCAAGAACCAGGTCCTCGAATGTTGCAACATTGTTCATCCCAAGCTCATTTGCTTTCTTTATCATTGCTGCTTCGATTTCCCCCTTGGCCCATGCTTTGATAGCATGTTTCTCATCGTTTAATTGCTGCAGCAGTTGTTTAGTGGCATCCATCTTGGCATCAGCATTGGCAAAAACCAAACCTTGCAGGAACTGTGCTGCATGCTCTTCGTTCATGGAATTTTTGAGGAGGCGATTGCGACTGACAACCACCTTTTGAATTCCCGAATCCTCGTCGCTTCCCCGCGGAACCACTCCTGCCGTGGTTGGCGGAGCTGGGATTGCTGACACGGGTTTTGATGATGTCTTTGTAGGCGACTTGACCTCATTCGTCATAATGCCATTCTTTGCCTCTGGTATTTCTTTCACGTCACCAACAACAGATTGTGCATTCGGTTTTTTGGGATCCTCCCCATTGGTGGTCTGGGAGAGACCTGTGGCTTTTTTGGCTTGTTCGCTCTTTTCTTCTTGATGTTGCTTTGTCTTCTCCACGACATTGGCGACCTCCTGTGCAGCATTGGAAACCTTTGCTTTTTTCCCATTGTCAAGCTTGCTGTCCGATGCGGGTCTTTTCTTGCCGGGTGTCGCATTGCCGCCAATCGCTGACAAAACTGACGGCAGGTGCACACCATGCTTGGATTTTCCTGTTCTCTTGATCGTATTCTGCTGAACATTGAGCTGCTGCGATATGATGTCATACACATATCCTTGTTTTCGGAGAGACCCATCGGGGGCATAGTGCAGCCTCTTCTCTAACATGTAGGCTTTTTCCATTTCGACGATCCATGTAACAGGCAAGCGATTAATGGAGGTTGACGCAAACTGACCGTGTATAATAGCATGCATCCTTCGCTGATTGTCATGAGATGCATCGCTCTTCCACGCAAGAATAACATCGTCAAAGGTTTTTATGGTGGACCCCAGAAGATGTTGTGCTTTTTCGACCATTTTTGCATTGATTTTGGCTTTGGCCCAATCCTTGAGGTCCTGGCGTTCCTTGTGCAGTTCCAGCAGGAGCTCTTCCTGGGCTTCCTTCGCAGATGCTGCGTCGGCAAAGGAGAAGCCTTGCAGCAGCCTTTGAGCATGAATCTCATCCATTTTCCCCTTGAGGAGCCGTCGGGGACAGACCAGTTTGTAGAGTCCAGACGCTCTGTCGCCTTCATGTCTAGTATCATGATGTGCATCAGAGTCTGCCATTTGCTCTGCGCTTGCTGCTGGTTTGCTAATTGAGACATCTGCTTTTGACGGCGGTGATGAATCGTGAAGATTGCTATTTTCAGACTTGTCGCTTTGCTTGCTTATTGTGGTTTCTGATAATATGATGTTGCTTTTTTCAGGCGGGTCTCTCATGAGAGGTTTGGCAGCAGGTTTTCTTGTCTCTACCCCATCCATCACATCGACATCTGCCGTCGTTGCATCTTCCTGCATCATGGCATTGCTGTCATCCTCCGCATCAGCATCCTCCTTTGTTGCGCCGACATTGCCGATGCCATCACCACTGCTTTCAGCATCAACCATGAGAAGGCGAAACACATGCTCCGATAGATCAATCCATTCGTCATCCCCGTCGTCATATTCAATATAAATATTTTTCTTCTGAACCGATGGATCAAGCTTTTTCATGACAATTGCAGGGTAGTATTGATCGTCTTCTGGCCAGAAAACTGCCACTTGAGATCCGACCTTGACTTGAGCAATGACATCCTGGATCGTTCTGGTGGGAGCCAACTCAGCAATCACCTTTTCTCGCTCCCCAGCCTTGCGATCATTGTTGCGTTGTAGTCGAGCCCATTGCAGTTTGCGGTTAATCCGTTGCAGTGCTTCGTCACGGGAGAGTTCCACTTTTTTTGGGTAATCCATAAAGCGGCCACCGTTGTTTGTGAGAGCGGCGTATATGGTTTCCAAAATGTCATTCTTTTCTTCCTTGTTAATGTCTGGATCACAAAAGTCGTCCAGATGTCCCAATACGAGGTCCATGCACAAGACATTGCCCTCGTTTTTACCGACGCGTCCCAGTCCAAAGCCACAAACGACATCATTGGGTCGGAAGAACTCGTCGTCATCGTCGTCTTCGGATGAACCGCCTACAGCAAGATGACCCGGTGGTGATGCTTTGGCAGCTCTGGGAGGAGTTGTTTTGACTTCCGGCGGCGGCGATGCTTTGGCGCCCCTTGGTGGTGGCGCTTTTTTGGCAGGGGAGCTACTAGCTCGCTTGGCATCGCTGTTTCCGACACGGTTCCCGAGTCTCAGATACGTTCGCTTCATCTTGGTGGCAAGTTTATGCAAGGCATTTTCTCGATCGATTTCGTTCATGGTTTCAATGTCGCGAAAGCACCCCCCTCGGGCACGAATTGCGTTGTAGATGGTTTCGATCATGTCGCTTTTCTCCTTGGTGGAAAGATTGTCATTGTGGTAGGTATCCATGCGTTCCCGAATCATCTGCATACAGTAACGATTTCCAGCATTGTGATGGTTCCCTCGTCCACCCATGAGGACGTCTTCATCTTGGAAGGACTTTCGTTCTTTCTTCGTTGGACTCTCTTTACTATTATTGTCATGATGATGATGATGATGATGTTTGGCAGGTGGATCAATTTTGGACTTTTTGAGAGCTGCGATATTGACGTGATCATCATCGTCATCATCATCGGTTTCCGTCTCCTCCTCGTCCAGGTGTCTAACCACCTGTTCCTTTTTGGGGCGTCCCCTCTTCTTTTTTGGAGTAGTGTGAGCCTTTTGGTCCTGGAAGGTACGATAGATCATCTTCTTCCTAAGGCGTTGGAATGCCTCTGGTTTCGCGAGTGGACTTTGGGAATAGGCATCCATAAAGCGTCCTCCCTTGCGGGTAACGGTGGTATAAATATCTTCCAAGATAGCAGTTTTTACCTCGCGGGGAGTGTTCTCATGAGTGAATTTGCTGTAATGTTGGGCCACCAGTTTGACGCAGAGCACGTTGCCCTTGTTTTTATAGTTGCCAGGACCACACACAACGTCTTCGGGACGGAATGGATTGTCGTCCTCCTCCTCTTCCTCATCCGTCTCGTCATCTTCATCATTGTTGTCCGTCTTGTCCAGTGCCTTGGTTTTCTGGTAGGGTCCTCTGATTTTGGCCAGTTCAAACATGCGTCTGATTTTGTCCATGGCCATTTCCTGTGTGAGTTCGGCGCCATTTTTGGAACTGACAAAGCGTCCTTCAATTTGATCAAAGACGTTCCGCACAATGTCTTGTTGTTGACGTGTGGAAGTGGAAGAACAGTACTCCTCAAAATGGTCACTGACCAGCTCCAAGCACTTGATGTTCCCTAGCTGATTGCGAAAGTGTCCAGGGCCACACAGGACATCCTCTGGTCGGACTCTAGCACGAGCTTTGTCTTTGCTGCTCATGGTGATACAGTGTGTGTTCTGGTTCTGAATTCTGCTATCGTATTGTATGCAAGAGAGTGTGCCTTCTATCTCCCAGCTGATGGCTTGAGTAAATCCAGAGGCTTCTCGTGACGAGAACGAGTATGGCAAGGCAAGCAAATGGAAATTGGATATCAGCGCTCTCTCTCAAGTCGTTGGGACTTTTAGTATAGCACAGTGGAGTTCTTTAGCAGCAGAGGTGGCCACTAGCGGTACTAGCGGCAGGCAGAGTTCTCGCAAAGCAAGTCCAGTCCACTCCAAACAGATCACTGGCTGCTACCGAACCGCACAGTGAACACGAAGGATCGTAAAAAACACTGCTTATCTGATCTGCTGACACAACTAGAATATGGTTGTCAAAGCCTCGCTCGATGTGCGGATCTACAGTGACAACAACAACTGTAAAAGCGAGATTCTTGTTGGGGGCATCAATTTCCAGAGAGAGTGAGTGAACTCAACGGACGTCACTGTGCTGTTCTGAAGAACCGAGTCACGAGTCCACTGTGATTGAAACTCAACAGCACCATCGCGTCTGGGGAAACTGGGTGGTGGTTGAATATCGGTACAGTACCGGTACGGTACGATCTCTTGCTTCAAACACTCCCGATCGTGATACCTCCACTGCCGTGGACAGCACACAATCTGCTCCTCCAGTTCTGCGGGAGCTGGAAAATTGGTTAGGCGATTTCTCTTTTCTGCTTGAATGATACGATTCGATTCGATTCGATTCGGGAGGTTGCGAGCCAATTTCCCCTTGCCTAGCTAACCATGAGTACCTTCATTTGCAAGCATCGTACCGCAGGTTCAGCACCACCCCCCAAAAAACATGCCTATGGTTTTGAACTACTAGTACCCGGCACGGTAGTTGTTAGGTTCGTACGTGCACAGTCGCTCGGATCAAGGAAGCCATCCCATGCTCGATTAAATTGCCTGGAGCAATCGATTTAGTGGTTGCATTCCAGACTTCCACCTCCGTACCTCAGTGCTGCTTCGATGGACTTGTGCATACCGGTAAATAGAAATACAGTACAAAGCTGCAAGCTTTGTCTCGAGGTCCAGTCACTATCCAAGTCTCAGAACTGGTATTCCCGAATGTGACTGAAGCCACCGGTACCGGTACTTGTACCGATAAATGAGAAGCCACCAGTATGAGAAGCCCACTCGTGCTGTTTTGTCTTCTGGAGGGAGTGCCATGGATCGCGTTCTGGATCCCTTTGTCTCTCTTTCTATCAAATGGCACCACTCTTGTCTACGATCCTCTTTTAGGATAGCTCTCATCAACAACAATAATGCCAGCACATGCAGCCAACGAAACGAAATTCCTGAGTGCTTCCACCCATTGCGAACGGGTCATGGGGCGCCATGTGGTGGACGGCAACAAGGGTGCCATCATGGTGGATTGGCCGGGTGTTCGATTGGAGTTTCGACTTATTTCCAACACGAGATCGGTGGCGATTCGCATCAAGGGGCGTTCGGCCTGTTTTGGATATCGCGTGGTCGCCCAAGAGAAGGGCAACGACGAGAGGAACCATGTCAATACGGACGATGCGGCGGACAAACTGGTCATTTTGTCATCTGGAAAAGAACAGGATTATCCCCTACATGACAATCTACTAAATTCAAATACTACGTACAAGGTGTCCATTTGGAAACGAGATGATCCCATCAATGGAGGAGCCATCATTTCTGGATTGGTTATCGACAGTGATGGCAATGTTCAACCCAACAGGAAAGAAGATGGAAATCTATTCCAGCAACCTCCGAATACCCGCCTCCTGGAATTTGTCGGCGACTCTGACACGGTGGGGTTCGGAATCAATGGACAAAAGTCTGGTTTCTTATACTTCCTCTGCTGTCAAATGCCATGCATGACCATGGCGCCAAGTCTGCGCAAGAGCACAGACGTAACCAAGTCATGGGCTCATCTTACCGCTCGACAACTGAAAGCCGATTACAGTGTCGTAGCTTGGAGTGGGATTGGAGCCAAGTATTCTCCGGAAAGCAACATGCCTTCCATGTTGGAGTCGTATGCCACCCTACTGCCTTCTGGCAAACAAAAGCCCATTCCACCCAACGAGGGCTCCATGCTGGGACCCGAGCCATCAGCTGTCATTCTCTATATTGGTCAAAATGATGAATATGCGGACAAGAGTGAGGACAAGTTACAAAAAGGGTTTGCTGCACTCTTGAAGAAGATAAGAGAATTCCGCCCATCACACATTCCCATTGTTGTTGTGGCGCCCGCGTTGGATTGCAACTTGGCATGTGCCTTTATGGGAAAGAAGGACAACACTGCTAAGGCAGAACGACAAAACAGACTCTGGAAAGCTGCCGTACAAGATCTAGTAGACTCGAATATTCACGTGGTGGATCACAAGCATGAACCGGACATTGCACTGAATTCCAAAGAAGACTTTGGCATTTGTTTGCACTGGAATGCCGCATCCAACTTGAAATTTGCCAATCCCTTGGTACCCAAATTGAAAAAGATCTTGAATTGGTAGGCAGAAAGCAAAGGAAGCTATTTAAAAAAAATAGCAAAATGTAATTCTTCTTTTAGTTTGGAAAATACCCCAAAGGGTTTCCCGACCGCGTCCTTGAGGTGCTACCGGTACCGTATTACCAAAATACAACGGTAGTCACATGATCGAGGGTATGTGGAAAGGGGGAGTTGTATCGACTGGTGGGACTTACCCTATAGTCATAGTAGTGAGTTCGCCCCTACTTAGGCCTAAGTATGGTTATCCTTTATTGGGGTATGGTAATACATAAAAGTCATTGAGAGTATTTTGCCGGGGAAAACCAGGCATTTGAGGGTATCCGATACTACTCAAAATAGTACTGTGGGTTGTATCGGCAACCCCAAAATACAACTTTTCGCCTAAGTATCTTTACCAAAATACAACTTCAATCGTACCAAGAACAACCATTCACACACAAACGTTCCGGGAAACTCAAAGACTTATGGTCCCGGAACCTTTCTCTTAGTACTGAGAGAGGGTAAACTGCAAAGTTACGCTCTACCACAACGCACATATCCCGTAGTACGGCCGACTTGGCCGTTGGACCGGATGGTTGATCAGTCAGTCGATCCTCATTCTTCACCAAATTTGCCATAAAATCGATGGAGTCAACCTGAAAAGGCGAAGCCCTCGCTATTTTGTTACTCAGTTACTCGCTGTTTTGTTACTCTCGCTCTTTTGTTACCGACAATGGCGAGGAAGCGCAAGTCACTCGATCAACAATACCGGCCAGCACTCACCAGGTTTATGTCTTGGAAGCATGGCCGGCAGACACCATATGATACCACGAGGAGCTTTACACAGGTACGTTGGTTGGTTTGTTGGCTCCTTCGCTCCTTCGGCAAATCTGTCATTTCGCTGATCAAACATCATTGCTCACACCATGGTCGTCTTCTTCACTTTTTCTGTTCTCAGGACCAGCTTCTTGCCATTACACCCACTGATGTCGCCCGGTTCCTGAACTTCCTTGCATATGGGAAGACCAATCCTGGTCCCAATGATCGCCCCACCCAGAAGAGATCTACCACTCTTGAACAATACAAGAAGGCCATCAGCCACTTCCATCCGAACCGCCACTCGCCATGGGCTGTTGGTCCCAATGTTGGGAATCCCACTCGCTCCACGAACGTCAATGGAGTGATCAAAGCTGTGAAGAAGGCGGAGGTCAGGAAGCAGGGAAGGAAATCCAATGTCAAGCGAGATCTCAAGCTTCGAGAATTCCGCAAGACCATTCGGATCCTGGAGCGTGATGGAGGTGCCAACATTGACCTCACGATCAAGACTCCAACCATGATGAAGGTTCAGTTCCACATGATTGGTCGAACTGATGATCTGACGAACATGGAGACATTGGACTTCCGCAGCCACTCCAAGTTTCCAAACATCGCTCTCCAAACCAAGGTATCCTGGAGCAAGAACGTCCAGGAGGAGCGCGATTGTC